CCGCCGACTGCCAAGTGCCTCAGCAGGGTCGCCGGTCGCATCGGAGTAGTCGTTTTTTGCGCCTTCACATCCTGCACTTGGATTTGGTTCTTGTAACTGTAAATCGCTCCGATGTGCACTGCTGTGTGGATGGATTTGTCGCGGACTGCCTGCTGAATCTTTTTGAACGAGTCAATTGTGATTCGATCCTGCTTGGGGATTTTGTCAGTGGCGTTAGCGAACGCAGTGGTTTCTAGTTCTGTCGCCGGTGCTGACGGATTGTACGGATCGTTGGGGGCAGGAAATGCCTGGACCAACCCGTTCACGCCGGTGGAAATTGCGGCTTGCTGGTGTAGCAAAAGTTGCAAGTTGGCGCTCTGCTGCAGCATGAATTGGCTTTGCTGGTACAGCTGCTGGAAATACAAATTCGCGTGCTGCTGGTGCCAGGGGTCGACCGCTGGACCGGGGACTGCTGCCTGCGCTCCTGCACCCGGCGGGATCTGATTTCCCTGCGCGGGGGCGACTGCGGGGGCCTGCACAAACTGCTGATTGGCTGCTCCTGCGGCATTCTGATTCGCCGCTACATTGGGCTGCTGTGCTGCGCCTGCAGCCGGAGCGGCTGCTCCACCGTTTACCTGGTTCTGCTGGGCGACTCCGGCAGCTGGAATTGCTGCGCCACCAGCATTCAAATTCTGGTTGCCGCCTGCTGGGGCTTGGGCACCGGCTCCACCTGCAGCTTGATTCGCTGGGATTGCACCAGCAGCTGCGGGCGGGGGAGCTACTGCTCCTTGGTTTTGATTCTGGTTCGCACCCGCGGCAGCTGGAATTGCTGCACCGCCTGCACCTTGCGCTGCGATGTTTGCGCCGGCCGCGGCGTTATTGACTGCTGCACCCGCACCTTGATTCTGGTTCTGCACAGCACCGGCTGCTGGGGGAATAGCGGCTGCGCCGGCAACTTGACCCGGATTCTGCACCGCACCGGCTGCCGCTGGAAATGCAGCACCGCCTGTTCCCTGGTTGTTCGCCTGGGCTGCACCAGCGATTGCTGGACCCTGGAATGCAGGTTGGGCGGCGGGGGCTGCAGCAGCTGCTCCTCCCTGTTGCTGAACAGCATTCGCGATTGCAGCAGCTGGAATTCCTGCTCCACCGGCGGCGGGAATGTTGGGTAATAATCCGGCAGCTCCCGCGAGGTTGGCGTTTGCTCCTCCTTGGTTGATGATGGCCTGCGCTGCCGCAGCGACGGGTTGATTGGCCTGGGCACCAGCAGCGGGAATTCCTGCACCCTTGGCTGCACCAACAACTGCTGCGCCTGCGACTGCACCCCCTTTCGCCACGGGGACATGAGCACCACCTTTCGCCTTGGGGATGATGAGTCCTTTGTTGCCTTTCCCTTTCGCTTTGGGGATGACGGGATCTGCTCCGCCATTGGTAGCGTCCGCGTTCTGGTCGACTGTGCCGTAGGGATTAATGTGCAGCGCGGGCGGAATGGCCGGCAACTGCGGGAATTGTCCCAGAATTCCGGCACCAGGGCCTCCCATCATGCCGTTGATGTTCGCGAAGACTCCGTCGTTCATCTTGGAAAAACTTTTTGTCGGGAATGAAACGAATGTTTCAAGACGTGAAAATTGGCTGTGGGTAGTGTGATGAATTTCCGATGCGTAAACAGCAGAATGTCTTGTTTGATTGGTGATGTCTCTCGGTGAGTTTGAGTGAGACGCTCGTGCAGATTTTGCAGAATGTGAGTTTTGAATGCGGACTTCCTCGTTTATGAATTCGCTCGTGAATTTTCCTAGTGGAGAATGCCACTTGAATGTTTGACGGCAAGAGCAGGAAATGAATATGTGGCGGAATCACAGAACAGAACAACCTTGATGCATCGAATGGATGCAAGGAAGTAGAGAACTCGAACGAGTTCGAATAAAATAATTTACGTCTCATGGAATAAACACAAATCCAGCGAATTCGTTAGCCGGGTAGGTGTTGTTGCGGTTGTAATATTCTTTCATGTTCTCCGTGCGCCATCGGAGATGACAACCTATGCGACTGCTGTTCAATTTACATGACATGAGTTGTTGTAAACAACCTATACGCATTGATTGCGTCCTCGTGGAGGAGAAAAACCGTTCGTATGTTTTCATGAACGACTCACGCCAGTCAGATGCGGAAGAAGCCAAAATTGGAACAAGACGGTGCGGACACAACACATGCAATGGGGAACCACATAAACACTTAACATATACCTTTCGTATAAAGTTACTTTTTAATATGTAACGGTCTAGTGACAGACAGAAAACTTTAGCTGCCGGGTTAAAGCTAAAGTCGCCAGAAAAGAGCTGGTATACGTTGCTCTGTCTTGCATTTAAGTGGATTATTTGCATGGACTCTTCGTAATCACCTCCATCTTCTTCGTCGGAATTATCTTCGACTGCAGATGAAGAGAAGACGTCAGCTGTACCGAACTGGATTTTCTGGAGCAAGGTCGCCTTGCGGAGCCCGAACAGAAAACCGATGCTAACTGCCGCAGCAAATTCCTGGTGGTGTTTGTGGATCGGTTGATTGATCTCGAGGAGTTCCGAGATCATAACCGGCGGGGCCTGCGTGTGGTTAAACTTCCCTGTCCTTTTTTGTCGAGTGACGAGTTGGGACAGGTACAGCTTATCTTCCTTGCCGAGGTTGCACGCACCGGGGACAGCTTCGAATCTTGCTACCACCGACCAGAGATAATCGTCGGCGGTGGCGTAGATGCTGCGATCGTCATGGTCACCCACTAGAGCAGCAAAAAAGTGGGAAGCGTGGAGTCGTGTTAGCGGCCACGGTTTTTTCAGAAAGCCGAGATCTGGGTGTGCACTTGCTCGTTCGCAGAATTGGAAGTAACACTTGACTCGAGCGTCTTCCGTTTTGTTGGCCGGACGATACGTGATGGAGTCGTGAGCTGCCTGAAGACGATTCCTGTCGTCTACCAGCTCGAAAACCTCCGCTTTCTGCTTTGTATTCCTTGTTTTTTCTGGATTCAATGCGTCTTTGTACAACTTCAGCATCTTCGGGTGACTTGCAATTTCTGTAAAGAAACCTGGAGCGTGCTTCGCGGTAGACGGAGCTGAACCAGTGAAACTGGCAACCGGAAGGGCGGCTTCATGACATGCGTTCACAGCCGATGCAAAAACTGAATCAGAAATCGAAGGTGCTTGTTGTTGAGCAAAGGAACCGATTGCTCGCTGTTGAGAAGGCCGTGAGTATGGAGCAGGTACTGAGTCCGACATGCTTCTGGTTCGTGTGTGCCGCGACGTCGACGAATGGATCGGTGCGTTGTGGCTGATGCTGCTGCTTGTGAGGTCTGACTCTGCTCTCCTCCGTGCAATTAGCGCGCCAGCTTGAACAGCTGACGACGAAGATGAGCTTTGTGTGATTAAAGCTTTGCGTCGATCCATCTTCCTTGGGTGGGATCAAACTTGGTTGATCAATAGGGTGGGAAAAATAAGTAGAGAAAAGAATTTTTCTCGACCGTCCTGAAGTCTGTGCCCTTATCTATCGCTTCGCTCTTTCGATTGTAAAATTGCATTTCGTGGCGCTATATTCGGTATTTTACAATCTCTCTTGCTACGCTAGAATAGATGTTATTGTTGACCCTTGATCCGCGTGTGGACTGCTCGCTCAAGAATGCGGAGCCGCTCGTTGAATGTGAGCCGGGAAAAATGGTTTTTCGCGTGCGAAAAACTCTCTCTGTCTTTACGCTCAGGACAACGATTGTCAAATGCCAACCTGTTGTGTACTCTCACCACCAGGGCGAAGACTGCCTCGAACAGAATGACTGAATTCCGAGGAAAAGTACACCAACAGGTCGAGACCTCGACGACTGTCGGTAGCTCAGAGGGAGGTGTCGCAACTCACCTTCATCAGAGAATACGACGGTAAAAAATAAGTAGAGAAAAGAATTTTTCTCGACCGTCCTGAAATCTGTGCCCTTATCTATCGCTTCGCTCTTTCGATTGTAAAATTGCATTTCGTGGTGCTATATTCGGTATTTTTTACCTAGGAAGACAGAGCGGGGCGCGCCCGCCTGAAGGCCCTTCCGGGGCTCGGCCCATTCCTGGGCCGGGCCCCTGACTTATTGTTTCAAATTCGCGAAATTTTCCGCGAATTTTCCGCGCTCTAGTGGTCCGGGCCCGTTCGCCTGACTCCTACGGTACCGATTTGGCCGATCTCAGAATGGTCCAGATCCTAGCCAAATCCTAGAGGTAGACTTTATCGAGGACCTTCGTCCTAGATCAAAACTTTACCAAGGACCGCCGACCTTGATAAAAACTTTACCAGGGACCTCCGGTCCTGGTAAAATCGTACGCATACAGAGGGGGAAGTAGATCCCAGAATGACTAGAGATCTGGAGCCTCAGAGCCTGTGGCAATGGAATGATGACTATGATGAACCATGAGTGATGAATCTTCACAGGATGCAACACAGCCAGAGGCTTTCGCCCTGTCTGCTGAGAGATTGAAATGTTTGCGGTGATTGAGGGACCTTTTCAGGTAGAAGCTTTGGTCACTCAATGTGGCAGGTGTGTTCAAAGTCCAACACTTTCAAGAATCGAATTCCGAAATTCATTATCATTCAATCATCCCGAAAGAATGAGGTCTCACATTAAAAATATTTTTTTTTTCGATTTTATCTTTGAATTCTATTCATATTCTGAAAATTTTCATAATATCACATCAACCAATATCCTCTACCTAATCCAAGAGATAACATAAGAATCAGAATTTGGGATGCATATGCATTGAAATTGACCTCGAAAATGAAAATATTTATCGAAAAAATTATGATCCGATATTTCATGAATTTCGATTTATGACCAACCAACCATGATCTCAAATTGATGATCCGACGAAAAATTTGAATCCATTTGATGTCGTTAATATATCCGTGATATTTTCCAGAATTATCTCATCCGATAAATCAAAATTCTTCCTGATGTCGTGCAATTCGGACACAGAAAACAAGAAAGAAAAAAAAGGATGTGGATGTCGGTATAATTCAAATGTGATTCATCGATCTGCGTAGAGTGGTTGTGTTTACGATCTGCGTTTCTGTTTTTGTTCAATTCGAATATGCGTTATTGATTCGGAAACTGAATGGGGTGTAAAGATTAGATGGCTTCTCCTCGTCCTGTGATTTCGTCATATTGTAGTTCGGATCTGTATTGCCATCCCCATCGCTATCGCCTATCGGCCGCACAAAGACAAATGTATCAATGTCAATCTTCATGCCTCGACGCGTTTGCTTTTCTTCTCCTTTTTTGATTTTTTCGTCGAGCTTGGCGTGGATTTCGGTGGTTTGGGTTCATCTCGAAAAAATCTCGTCGCCCCGCTGGAATCATTGAAGCCTACCAACCAGAAGTGTTCCGGTCCTCGCTTGCTGCTTTCAGCCGTTCTTTTCTCGTACCCGTGACAATACCACCATGCGCCGTCAAGTTTCAACGCAAGTCGGTCACTTTTCGTTCCAGCACTGTCGGTATACGGTGTGACTCTTCCGCTGTGTTTCTTGCCGTTCCATTTGATTGTGATGAAGTCTTGATCTTCGTCATCATCTTTGCCATTAGGGTAAACTTTCAGCACCTTCTTGCTCTTCGCTTGCGATTTCGTTTCGTCTTGATTCTCATTATCCTCGCGTTCCACATTGCCGCGACGAGCAGCGCCCGAAATACATGTACCTGACTCAGAGGCATCACTTTGTCTCATCCTACCATGCTCTTCTTTCATGAATTCTCCGTGCTCATTGCATTCTTGCCACGCAGCGTAAGCGTATTCGTTTTTTTTGCAGCCGGACAGAAGCATCCTCACACAGTCCGCTGGAGGTGGGTAACGGTAAGCGGACCTGTTGTAGCGGTCGTAGGGGTAGGATTTGCGACTTGTGCTTGATGCTCTGTCGTACGACAAATCCGGTGTGGCCGCGTGGGCCACTAAATCTGGACTGCCGCCCGCAACGGCCTTTACAGAATCCAGGCTCTTGCCGGAGGACGTAATTACATGTGATGAATCGAGGGGCTGGGTGGACGCCGGTCCCATGCGTCCCGGTGCGGATTTATGTGGGGATTGCGGATGAGCAGGAGCGTCGGACCTTCCCGCGCCTCGACCGCCACGGGTGGTCGCGTTCTCGTCGTAGTGGGCAGAGTACGCGTCATCCGGCTCTGCCGGCGCCGGTGTCCCGATGTAGTATTCTTCCGCCGGGGTTGGTGCCTTAGAGCTCGAAGATTGCCCCGGTTGGCGTTGAATTTGTGGCACGTTCACTGCAGGTGGCGGTGCGGGGGTCTGTTCTTGTTCCCGTGAAGATGCCGAAGAAGTCCACTGCGGCTGCGGTGCGCCGTTGTTCCATCTACTTTGGTTTTCTTGATCGGTGGCACTCCCTCCTACCGTCGCCGCATCAAACGCGAACGCAGTGTGACTGCTGTCATCGCGGTGCTGTTGTGCGTTTGGTTTTGGAGGACCACACGAGGAGGAAGAAGGTGCTGCTCCACCAAAAATAGCACTACCATTAGCACTACCACTACCACCGCCAGCAGACTCGGCATCGGGAGAAGCATTCGACGCCCAAGTAGTCGTTGAACAGGTCTTGTTCCCGAGAAATTCGTCCAGCAGTCCGCGAGTGCGGAGAAGCGGTTCCCAAAACACGAAGTCCGGTGTCTTGTGCTCGAGGTATGAAGCATCAAGATTTTCTTGCCGGTCCCGGCGACGCTGGTGACCCTTGCGTCCTTTGTCCGACGGAGAAGTACTCGTGATTCCGGGAGAGTTGGCCGACCCGCTCCAATCGCGAGCGTCTTTGCCCTTCTTGCCCTTGCCCTTCGATCGCTCGTCTACTCGAGATTTCACATCCACTTTGTGCGTCGCACGGATCCAGCACTAGTATGCGATTTATCGTTTTCAGAGTGAAAATGCCTTGTTTGGTGCGTCAGAATCTATCGTGTTTATGCGGGTCATTGTGCAAAGTGAGGTAGGCACAGTCGAGGCACTACAAATGAACGCAAAGAAAGCAGTGACCAAAATCAGAGCAAAACAAAATGCAAATTGTAGCTAGTGCGCATGCGCAATCACAATCAGTTCCTATACAAAAGTGAGTAAATTTTCTGTACCCAATCTCCCTGCATCTGATTTCCGGTTTTGTCCCACTCGTAGAGCTCGTACCGCTTTTGCTCGAATCGCGTGTTTTCCTGCATCAGTTGTTTCAACTCCTGCCGCGTCGGCGGCCTCGGGGGGCCTTGCCAACTGCCAAACTGTCGCTTCGGCAGATCGCAGCTCAGGACCCACATCCCTTTTTCGTCGCGAGCGATGCGCTTCTCTCGGCGAAGGGCACGGTTTAGATCACCTATCGCGTACTCCATCAATTCGGTGCCAAGCTTCGCTCTCGCGGCTTGCGTTTCGTTGCGCTTCACTGCTAGAGCGTCCTTTTTGGAGAGGGCTTGTATGTTCCGTCCTCCTCCTCCTCCTTTACCTTTGTCGGACGATCGGGTCGTGGTGTTGTTGACATTTTCACCGGCAATATCTTCCTGTCGCCCCTGGCTGCGACCTCCAGCTGCTTCTCCACCGCCCTGCGGGCTGTCGTGCCATCTACTTTCGGACGAGGCGTCGCGGCTGTTGGGGTCCGAGGCGTTCTCAGCCCACCAAGGCGACGAAGTTGTATCTTGCCATGCTCTGTCTCCATCGTCTGGAGCACGGGAGCTCCCCGTCCCCGCACTCTGTTGATGATGTTCCTGGCCGTAGTTGTACCCATGATTAGAATCTTCGACTTCGTTCCTTGTCTGCCCATTACCACTCTCATTTCTTTCGCCTGACTCGGTCCACCCGCCGCTTGAGCTTCCAGCGGCTGTGGCCGCGGAGGTGTTATCCGAGTTTTTCTGCCACCAGTTGTTCCAGTTCGGGTTCCAGTACGTCCAGGACTTTGAATTTTCTTGAGTGTCCGTGTCATTATTATTCCACGAACCTGCATCCTGTGCCTGAGTTTGCCAAGAATTCTGCTGAAAATTTTGCTGCTGGCGGTCCTGGTGCGTCCCATAGAGCGAAGATGAATCCCCGTAGTACGTCGCCTGGCTCGTCCCATCGCCGTAGTCTCGCCAGCCCGAGGTGCCGGAGTTCCAGTCACTCGTTCCTGTTCCCTGCGTATTCTGCGCTCCACCACTCCCAGCTGGTGCGGCACCGGGAGGAGCACCTCCAGCTCCACCGTTCCTGTCGTACCTTGTGTACTCGCTACGCCAGCCGTAGCCACTGCTTGTCGTGTATGTCGAATAGGAGGGCGTGTTTCTCTCGCTATCGTAATTATGCGCATTGGGATTAGTCGCGACGGAGGAAGAAATGTTGTCCGCGTTGGCATTGCGAATGCCATAGGAATTCGAGCCAGACGCCATAATGACAAAGACAATCAATTTGTTGATAAAATAATAAGGAAGGTATTTCTGGCCGTAGGTATGTCTGTCGGTATGCACCAGCAGAAAGAGTAAGCTACAAGATCTATCAAATACTACAAGTGCAGCGAGGCTGATGCCGAGACAGATACTTACTTTGTCGAAGTGGTGATCTGAAGAAATGTACTAAAATCTCGTTTCTTTGTCACGATCTCAACATCTTAGGAAGATCTCAAAAACATCAGGCGAAGCTATCATGGGACGTGCACATGAACAGAACTTCGTCTCAGACTCAAAGTTACACAGCTTGCTTGGCGGCGGAAAACGCGTGTAGCAATACACAGAGCGTGTAGAAGTAGAACAACACCAAGAGATAGAACCCGTGTGTGTGATGATGTTGCAAAGACGTAAATCCTGGCTCTTCGTCATCTGATCTAAACTATCACTTGGTCAACATTACGTTCTCCATGGTGCACAAGCAAGCATGTACGTTCTCTATGGCTCAAAAGAAAAAGCTGAAGAAGCAGTTGCATCCGCACTCGGGACCTCCTTGCTAGTACGAAATGTAGTTCTTTCTATTCCGTATAGGTGAAGAGTCATGTTGCGGGGAGAAATCCGCGTGGTTTGTGTTTGATCGAAAGTGAGCGGTCGTCGAAATGTCGGCGATCTTATTGGCGCTGGTCTCAAAACTCGCCAGCAACAGGGGGCGCGAAACTAGTAAACTTTGGTTTTCTTTTCGAGGGAGATCACGGTCCAAGCTCGAATTGGTGTATGGGTAGACCGGCGTGTCATGTCTATCATAGTTTGAGTTTTTCAAAGTCATTATGCCTATGCTAGGGGTCGCACTTCTAGGACTAGCCCCCGGGGGTGCCGGCGCAGTGACAATGTGCGCGGAGGACTTTGTTGAGGATTGGCTATGACTAGCAACATCAAAAAGCTTCCACTTCCCGTCACTGTCTGATCGTTTCTCGGAAATAGGTAGGTTGTCGAAACCGAGCGCTCCCACTCCTCCTACAGCCGCCTTATGATCCCTGCTCGTGCTACTTCTATTTTTAGCCTCCGGCAAAATTATAGGGCTGATTTCGCGTCGCGCTCCGTCCGTCGCTAAGGGAGAAGCAAGCGGATCTACGTCGCCAGTGTACTGGTCATAAAGCGACGGCCCACTGAGCAGCCTGGCCTTGTGGTGGCGGGATGCAATAACTGCAGCATTGTCGGCGTTATGGTTATCTCCGGTACCTGCGCGTCCCCTCACGGAATAACGATCACGACCAGTCGAAAGTTCTTGCCCGGCTACATACCACTGCAGAAAGGAAACGTTCCCTTTCGGCGAGGTGAGGCCGAGTCCGTCACTGTCTTCGTCGGCTTCGGCGGGCGAAAGAATCCGTCTACTCTTTCGTTTACTGGACATGCTCACACTTCTGCCAAGATGATTTTCGTCGTCTTCATCAGCTTCATCATCCTCTTCCAGGAGGGGTAGATTTCGGCTTTTGGTCGTATTGTGCTTGGCAAAGGCAAAATCTCGTCGCGAATTTTTCATCTCCTCTGCAGCCGCGATGGCGTGCGCTATCTCCTTTCTTTCCAAGGTATGCAATTTTTCCTCCCGACCCCCGCAAGCGTATCCTGTGCAAAACTTGCTTCTCACTTACTCATAGTGCGCTTCGGAGGTGTCTACATCTAGTACTCTCAGGAGTGAGGAGTATGAGCGAGAGCTCGGGCTCTCCGCTGCAGCTTAGCTAAGAACAAGGAGCACTTCGTTCAATGATCGATGCATTCATATTCCTTGCGTCAGAATATGTATCGGAGAAATATGCACAGAGGATACGACGCAGAAACTTTCTACACCTCCCATGCTGCGTTAGCGGAATCGTTGGTGCTGACATGCGGCCCTGCTTCCCTCTTCGCGTAGTATGGCATGTTTTACAACGCCCCCGGAGAAGGCCGTAAAATTTTCAATTTCATGTCTATCAGGAGGGTATTCCTTTTTCCGTAACAGTGTGAGTGTCTTCATTCAATGAGCTGGACACTGCACATCGGTTGGGTACGCATTTGATTCAAATTCAATAGCTGATGCTCTGCTGACGAGCGCGAAACAGAATGACAAAATGCAGACCGAGCAATAGGTAACGCATCACATTTTGTACTACTTTGTTCCGAGCAAAAGCGCTGCAACACCGAGGCAACCGACGAGGATTGAGTCCATGGTCATTCTTGAAACCGTGACACGACAGACCGACGTGGAGGCATCAGCACGATTCTAACCGATGAGGCCAGAGCACAAGGTGGAGAATCAACGTAGCTGAAAGTGAAACATGAAAATCATCACCGAATTTCGTTTTAGGGCTTTTTATTTGGAACAAACCTGCCGGTTAAAGAGCACGGTAGTAGAAGAAGAAGTCTGTCAGGGTGCATTATCAATTTCGCTATCGTCATGTTTGCGCTGCAGGTAAAAGAGATACTGTGTGTTGTTGGAGGCGATTCAAAAGTTGAAGTGTGTGGTGCTGGAGGGTTCACTTCAATCATTGTTTTGTCGCATGACTTGGATTTCTTGCTGCACTGCTCCCCCAATATCAAAACCTGTTGCAATGCGAGAGCCTTCACATCTCCTCACCAGCTACAACTCCCGCGCCTGGCGGTTTCTTTGGCACGCGTTTTCTTCGAAAACGATTTGATTTGAGAGGCGGCGGCGCAGAACCTGTCCCAGACGCGCCGCTGGTAGTGGAGGCGTTCTTGTTTGTTTTTTTCTTTTTCTGCTTCTCTGCGCTTTTTCCGGTCGCCGTCGCTGTTTTTCCTTTCTTATCTTCACTTTGAGGCACTTCGTCTTCGTTTGCTTCCGGTGCTATCGGCGCAGGATCGATTTTGTCCTTCAATGCGGCCTCAGTGGATTCGTCTTCTTCTCCACAACTATCGCTATCCTGCCTTTTGCTTTTGGCATCCGCCGCACATTCATCAGGGCAAAAATTCCTCGCCGTCTCTTCTTCGGTTTCTGACATTGAAGCCGAACAGCTCGATGCCGCGGTTGCAGAAGAGCAGGCCTCCTCCCGTACTTTGTTTTCGTCTGCGTCTGCCGCGTGCTCATGAACAGAAGTGAATTCGCTCGTACCACGGTGGCTTTTGTCCTCGTCTCGTCGTCCGCAATTGGAGGTCTCGCCGTCCTCGCTTTCGAAGTTCTGGGTCGCGTCGCTTACTGGTTTGATGGTGTCTTGGTTTTCCTGCTCCATCCCTTCAGCAACGTCACCCCCGTAGAGCAGTTCGTATGCGGAGTGAGCCGTGCCACAGCTGTACGCGATTGGGTTTGCAGAGACCATCTGTACTGTCGTAGACGTCGCTGGCGGTATGATGAAGTGGTCCTGTACATGCGGACCTGCAGTGTCGACAACATCGACCAGCTCGTCGCTTTCTGGTTCCGGAAGCTCATCAACAACATGCTTCTCTTCGAACCCATACCCACTCTGAGTATCTTCATTTTGTGCGCTCTCAAGTTGATTCGCTTCTTGTACTTCCATCTCTAACTCAGGAGACGAAGGAAGAACGTCCTGTAGCTCGTCCCGGTCATCCGCAACGTCGAACTTCGTGCTCGGTGTGCTCGCAACAGAGGAAGACACGCGCGGATCTGTGTGAGTGTGGTCTTCGCCTTTATTTGGTTCGTGCCCGTGGTGGTATTCGCTTTCCTGCTGCAATTCAGTTTCCTCCTCGTCCTCTTCCCCGTAATCTTCCGCCAGCGCTAAGCCCTCATCAAGGTTCTTGGCCGCGCTAATGTCAGGTGTGCTGAGCTCTTGATGCGGTTCTGCAGCTTTTTTCTCGTTCTCATCGTCGCTAGTGACATCTTGAACAACAGCAGCTGCTACAGGCTCGCTTTCTTGTTGAACGTTCATCTTCACTTCCGCTTCATCCGCAGCAACGACGATAGCCGCATCTCCTGTATTTTTTGCAGCGTCTGTTGCATCGAGATCCGCATCCCGGGAGTGAATCACGACTTCTCCTTCAATTCCCGCTGCGCAGTTCTGTTCATCAGCTTCTGCTTCCTCGCCACCACTGCAGTGCTCCCCCTCCAAGTGCCACTTCGTCACTTTCTTCACCAGCACATAGCTGCACGTGTTCAACAGCTTATCGTCCCTCGGAACCACCACTTTGACGTGCTGCTTCGTGTGCCCGACGGTTTGCTTCCGCCCCCGACTGTTGTCCGTGTCGGACCAGTAAACGAGCAATTTTTTCCCCTTCCACTTCTCGTTTTTCGTGTAGCTCATGAACAAATCCGTGACCTCGGTCGACCGCTGCTTGACCACCTGCGTGTCCACTCGCTGCATGTGGGCCGCTTTCGTGCCCGGGCGGGGGTAAAACTGGGAAATGTTGACCACGGCGAACTGGAAGTCCTTGATCAAGTTCAGCGTCTCCACGTGGTCACTATCCTTCTCGTCCGGGAAGCCGCAGATGATGTCGGTGGCGAAAGTCATGTCCGGGGATTTTTGCAGGATTTGCTTGCACATCTTGGTGAAGACGTTTTTCGTGTACTCCCGATTCATGTTTTTCAGCACGTGGTCCGCGCCAGACTGCACGGGCACGTGGAGAAACTCGAACATGTTCTCGTGGTTCAGCAACTCGCCTATTCTCGTCGCGTGGCGGGCCATATACGGCGGGTTCGTCATGCCCAGACGGAGGATCTTCTTCTTCGGATTGATGATGTGGGAAGAATCTGAATCACTTCGGCTTCCAGCGTTTGTTCTACCTGCAAGTGCAGACGCTTCTTCCGCGACCTTCAGCAACGCCTCCAGCAAGTGCACGATATTTGTTCCGATGTCCAGCCCGTAGGCCCCGGTGTCCTCCGAGGTCAACCAAATTTGCTGCACGTCGTCCTTCTCCCACGCAAATTTCGCCCGTTCCACGATCTGCTCGACTGAGTAGGACTTCAGCGTGCCCCGCGCGAACTTTGTCTTGCAGTACGTGCAGTCACCCAGACACCCTGTGTTGATCGCGATGATCTCCACCAGCGGGTTCTTCCGCACTTTCGGCAGCATGAGCGATTTCGGTAGCAGCGGTGCCTGCTTCAGCGGGTTGTCCAAGAAGTCCATCATGTAGACCCGATTTCCCTGCAACACCTGCTCCACGGCGTCCACGATTTTGTCCGTGTAGGAAAGCCCCACGATGCTGACGTTCTGCACCTTCGACTGCTCCAGGTTCTTCACAAACTTCGGGTCCGCCTGAGATACGCACCCGGTTAAAATGACCGGCGTGGGCCCGCCGGAACCACCGCCCTCGTTCTTCGACTTCTTGATCAAATTCACGGCGGCGTCCTGACTCGGGTTCTTCACCGTGCAGGAATTCACGATCATCACATCCGCGGCGAGCTGGTCATCGGTGATAACATACCCCTCCGCCTGTAAGAGCCCAAGCATGATCTCGCTGTCGCTCGCGTTGTGGCTGCAACCGAACGTCTTCATCCACACCTTCTGCCCGTTGCCGGGGAGGAGGGCCTGTGGCGGCTTTAGGTGTTTTGGAGGTTCTGGTGCTGAGGGGGACGAGCCAGACGCTGTGGCGGTGGAGTTTTCGTCGACCGTCTCTGGACTAGTGTTCATGTCGCGGAGCATATCAGCGGGCGTGTAATGCTCCGTTTTGTATTCCGCAGTGTTGTCGTCGTTTACTTGGACAGTTTTCATCGATTCACTTCTCGCACCAATACCAGATGTGGACTGCAACTGAGAACTCTCTCTCCCTTCGTTGCCATCCGTACCAGACGCGTTTCTGCGGTCGGACTGAGTTGGTAGTTCATCTGCTTGTCGTTTTTTGGACGTTCTTCTCTCAGCGTCCGAATCGTCCTCCAGCGAACTCTCGTCCTCCTCTTCGTCCTCCGCAAAGGCCTTTATGATGTCAAATTCGAACTTTTTCGACTTGTCGCCCAAGTCTTCCAAGTCTACGTCCTCTGAGTGCGAGTGGTGCCGCCGTTTCTGCTGCGACTGCTTCAAAGCCTGCTTCTGCTCTTGCTGGAAAGTGGTAGAATGTGTATGTGAATTCGATGTTGGCGCATCGTGAAACCCGTGCTGGCTCTCGCTCTTAGATGAAGAGCAACAGGTCGAGGTCACTGAGGCTGCGCTCGCTGCACCACCGCTGCTGCTCGCAGATCCACCGCAGCAGCCAGATGAACTACTGGCCTTGTCATTGGCACTTGTCCCGCCTGCAGCAGAACCTGCTCCGCCACAACAGCCAGTGCCGGAAGAGCTTGTTGCTGGCTTCCCCGCATCAAATAACGCATCCTCGTCGGCGTGCAAAATCACCGCCGATGTTGCCGTGTCTGATGCACCCGCAAGCTCGGTCTCTGGTTTTTCACGATGATCTTGATTCTGTCTGGCCGCCGCCGGAGTGGCAATCACGAGCGGATCTTCCTCATGATCTCTGTCAAACGCTGGCTTATTTTTCCCCTGTCGTCTATCGGTCGCTGCTTCTACAACTTCTTCCTGATCATCCACAGCATCCTCAGCCAAATCAGTGTCCCAGAGAAGCGTTTTTACCTTCTTTAACAGATGCCTCCTCTTTCGCCAAACACCGGCAAGCAAGACACAGGTGCCAAAGCCGGCCACCGCCGCAGTGACAACCTGTTGCCGGTTTCGCGGGAGGGAGCTCGGTAGGCGCAGTCCCATTGTTTTTCAATGTCCTTTGCTTATGCTTTTAGTTCAGTTTCAGGCTGTGGCTTTTTGAATTTATCATGGAAGTGCGCCGCCAATGATAATTATAACTCTAACTGCTCCTTCGTCAGAAAAAACAAATGCTTGGAGTTCTTGCCATTTTATTCCGAGAGAACCGGGGTCCCCAGGTCGAGGTCTTGTGTGTGGCCTTATCTGGGGTCGCTTGTTGTTTTGAAATGGAATCAGAAAGATGGGTGACATGATCGCTTAGAAAATTAAAGAGGACCTGGGAATGAGAAAAAGAACCTCAGCTTGATCTTCGCGACGCAATATATAGACACGCATCGAACTTCAAGAAGTCTTTTCGTTGAGGACCTATTTGAAATTTGAATGAACAAAAATGCAAAGCAACACATTTAATCTACACGGATCGCGCGAACATCTCGGTCTAATGATTCCACATACACCAGCTTCTATGGCTGTCGTGGTCATGATCAAGGATCGGATCAATTTGAATGTTTCATTTCTTTCTGCCATCCACTTCAACCAAAATTAATTAATTTTGATCCGCCTAACTCCAGAAGTAGCACTTAGTTGATAGCTCAGGTCGGAGCAGGAACTGGACAGATCCACGTTTTTCTGCCTGTGAACGAACACAAGCAGCGATGGAGTCGCTGGTGATACGGTACCGGTTTATTTTTCTGCAGCAAAACTTCGCAGATAAAAAACTGCGATCAATGCGTTTCATCTTCATCATTAGATCATGCAACAAGACTTGCAAAGCAGTCGAAATTGAAATTTTGTCCATGAGATACAAGGTTATTTCTGATTTTGTGTGCCTCCAGCTATTCTCTTTAGCAGACACATTTACATTCGATAATTTTTGTCTCTTGTATAACCCCCAAAATGTTTTAGTTTCACCACGATTGTTTGTGTTTTGCTTTTGTCCCAGGCACAGAATGCCTTTTCGAGTTGACGTTCCGAATTCGAATTTGCGCACCACACAATAAGCCTCTGACGCATGATCATCGCCCCAGCGTCAGGGTCAGGAAATCCACTTCACGTACGGAATAACTGACACTGATACAAAAGGTTGTACCAGCGAGGATTAGTATCATCAAAACGGACTGAATGTACCTGTCGCTATATTTCAATATGTTTCCACTTTCGCGTTCAACATAAAACGAGCTCAGTGAGTAGAGCCGCTGGGGGTCGGAGGCAGAGAATTCTCGGTCAGTCGACCCGCCAGTTGAAGCCATTGCCATGTCGTCGTCGTGCGAGGACTAAAATGAGCGTATAGTACAACCGGGATTGTATCTACCACCTCCAGCGAAAAAATCGTACAAGCCACTACACACGACGAAATGTAAATCAAAATGTTTGGTTGGGAGCACGGGGTACTGAGCATCAGGCCTATCAAACAATTCAAGTAGAAGTTTGATGCTCGTCTCTAGGGTAAGGATGCTGGAGCTGGAGGAGGGTGCGGGGAGGGTGACGAAATGCACGTCCTCGTGTCACTACACCTTCCACCTGTCTTAGTAAACATGTAGAAGTACCGTAGTCCACCTGGCAGTTGCAGCTTTACCTTGCGCGGCTTCTATCAACATCAATGGGGCTTAGTATCAGTGACAGTGGTGTTTTGTAAGTATAGCATGATTTTCGCTTGCTTTGCTTGAGCACAGTGGCACCGCTGCTGAATTCGTTCACTGAAAGCAGCAGCCTTCATTTCACAAATTTTTCTTCGACAATGCCAGCGCGCTAGATTTTTGTTGAAACGACATCATTCATCAATCACATACTGGTACAATAAACTCATTTTGTAAACTACAACCATGATAGATGCCAATCGGAATCGTTGAGAAATTTTGGGAAAATGGAAAATCACCATGACATACAAAAATGAAATTTCCGCCCCCGAGATGGGGCATTCATGCACAGACGTGTTTATTTAGTAGAAATGTGGAGCTACAGTTAGTTAAACAAAACTGACTCATCGTAAAAGCTTGAGCTGAGTAGTGCTACTATCTGCAACATGTATCTTGGACGAGAAGCGGACTGCTCCCTCCAGCAGATTCTGATGTTCTTAAGGCAACACAAACTCAAGCGTCTGCGTTTTCAGATTCTGCAACTACGTGTAGTTCTATATTCCTCGGATACTTTGTAGTCTTTGCATTGTATCGAGATCACTATATTTCTAGCTATGCAATAGAAGTCGAAGTCCCCGTCTAAAGCTAGAGTAAACCAGAACAAAGAGAAACGCGCCCATATATTTTTGCGGCTTGTACATTGCATTTTGAAACTGTTGCCGTGTTCTTACCAAAAGGGTATGGAAACATGTGAATAGCTGATGATGTTCTACTAAACCGTCTTTGGACATTTATTCGACTTCAAAAAAGTCGTAAACGTGTGTGCGGTTTTGTTATTTCTAAGCCGAACGTCGGTCAACTACGGTAACTTAAAGAGCCGCACAACTTCTGCAAACTTCGTCAACTCGCCTCCATGACCATGACCATGTGGTGGCCTACGGCTACGGTGCCTCTTCTATTTTTACAAGTTTTCATAAATGCTGGATCCATATCAGAAACAGTGGCGTGGACAAGTCCTGCTCAAGGTCATGGATTATATACTCCGATTGCCGTGTGAATAAATTGAAAAATTTCTGTCCACGCTGTAACTTTATCGTGCATAGAAGTAAAAAACTTTTTTTTTTCAGAACAACACCTCATCAATTTTGCATCATCTAAGGAGGAACAGAGAGGAAACATCGTATACTGGTTTTGCAAAATAGCGAAACTTGGTAATTGGAATCTGTGCTTACATTTTCAGAAAAGCTTTCCCGAGCCGAATTGGTCTTCGAAGGCCGCGGTGTCCGGAATGAATTCCAAATCCAGGTTGCAGTCCGCGGCAATCACATCCCCCAAACAGCTATGCTAGCAAAATCTTCCTCACGTCGAATGGACGTGTCGAAGCAAATCGAGCCTGTCTCGGGCTGCGGGTGCTCTTTCTGTAAAAGAACGACCAAATCTTATGCGTAGAGACCCAATCGCTGACGATGTGAGTAAAAGCAGAACTAGAGTTTTAGTTTCCAAGGAAAAGCTGTAGCTGGCTTTCGATCTGCATTTTGAGTCGCAAAGAGATTTTGCTCGGATAACTCTCCGCCAATCGTCCCATCTGGCGCATCACCTCGGAAACTGTCGTATAACCTGCGAACACAGCAGAAAGTGCACGAAAATGCAAGACTTGCGGTTGTGATGCTGATGTTGCTATACGTGGCAGGTTTTTTCTGCCTCTACTGTATGTTCGTGCAAAGGCCTCATCAAGCAATAGGTGGACGCAAGCATATGCATGTCGTCGCAATTTTTACGTCCGTCAAGGTCGCACAAAGAAACGACCTTCTCAGTTCTGGTTTTAGTAGCTATCTACGGGAAAGAAGAAAAGGAAAAAGGCTTGCTGCCTCGATATTGAGAGATTGCTGCCTAGGTAAAGATATACTCATACATACGTAGTTCTTACACATGTCGCATCATATCTGGTCGCGCCAAAACCACGCTTCGGCATCACATGTTTTCTGCATTTTCATGCACTTAGTTCTCTCTCTCACTGTGGATAGTTCGGGCGGACTTGCAATTTCATGGACTTCACACGGCACTTCGGGTGATTGGCATCTGAATTATATAATTTTTCAAATGATCTTCATCACTGAGAATTGTCTTCCGGATCGACAGTTTCGATGGCGCAATGGAATTACAAACGATGCGCATGGAGTAAGTAGCATATCATCCGATCATCATCATGAATGCGTGTTCATCTATGTTGAATACTTACTATACCACTCTGAATTCGGAACACGGCTTCCCGCTCGTGCGGAGCATCCCCGATAGAAATGATGTTTTTCCAACTGCGCTTAATGTAAAACTCCTTCACCACATCGCGGAACGCGTCTGCCTTCCAGCCCGCCGGGCTCTTGCTGCCGGACGGTTGCTCATAGGACGAACGGGCGGAAACGAGCTTGCAGCTCAGCACCTGGTGCAGTTGGGAGACTTATCATTTCGCTACCGTTTCTATCAGCTTGAGTTTTTTCGGTAGAGCAATAGGAATAGCGCAGCAGTGTCGGGCAAAACGGAAGCATCAACAAGAAGGCACAAAAACTTTGTTCGGCTTCGCTCGCTCAGTAAACAAAAACACTACTTCGGGCAACGCCGACGACAGCCAGGCCTTGCAGGAGAGCTCAATCCACCCGGTTTCAGCGTTCGTCACAATGACGACACGGCCCATGGTCTTCGCTTTCCGCAGCAGGCCCACCAGCATGCGGGCCACCGCGTCGAGCTGCGTTTTGTGCTTTTGGTGCACCAACTGGTCAAAGTACTCCCGGGCCATCTTTTGCCTGTTCTTGTTTTGGGACAAAATTTTTTTACGATGAGACGGCCGCATCTTGTACCATCTATCGAATCTTGTCGTTGCTGCATTCCAGTGACAGCGACTACGTTTCCTACACAATGAAATTTTGAATCTGATATACATGTAGCATCGCTTGAAACAAACTTAGTTACCCCTTCGCCTGTGCTGCGGACAGCGGAGGCACTGCGGTTCCATTGGTCGGCGAAGATGGCGCACCATCCTCGTCGTCACTGTCGAGGGTGATCACCTTCTTGTTGGGCGACTCCTTGTTGGGCGTGGCATCCCAGGCCTCGATGTAGGTCCCCGGCATGTGCTGCCCACCACTCGCGCCGGAAGTAGAGCTGGAGGAAGCTGTGAGAAAAGTGGATTCAAATGAAAGGACCGTTTCCCGAAAGCAACGCGGTCGAAGTTTATTCGGCGATGCTAGACAGAAGAAAAAGTCTTAATAAATGTCATCCCCGGAGGCGCTCCTGGTTGACATATTTCGATTGCTTTTACTGCAAATTCATATGGACATGCTCATCTCGTGAAGTGCAAGCACCTTTCGCCGCCCCCGCGTTTTTCTTCGACGGCGTGGTTGCCGCGGCCTGTTCCTCGGGCAAGTTGCAGCACTCTTGCCACACCTTGCAGATCAGCTGTTCGGACAGGGTGTGGCGACAGAACGAGGAGGGGCACAACGTGTCATCCCAGTCGAAGAGCAAAATGGTCTGGTGGCTCATCGCGTACTCGTGCTGGCTAGACTCCGAGGCGTAGGACCGCGACAGGTTGTCGAGGTGGTACGCCTGGGCCGCCGAGGCCGCCTGCGTGGCGGGCGAAACGACGCGCGTCTGCAGGGGCTGCTGCTGCTGCTGTGCCGCTAGGGAACTTTGCTGCTGGACCGCCGCTATGCATTGCAAAAGTATCGCACTAGTAGAAATCGCATTACAAATTCGGTCAGCATGACAAATGAAATTTGTCATGCTGTTTTACCTTGGTATGGAGATTTGTAACGCATGACTGCGATTACTACGAGTACGATACTTTTGCACAGGATAGCCGCCCGCGTGATCACCATCGGCTGCTCGCCCGTACCGCCATTCTGCTTCACCTGAGATTCGATGTCAATAGCATCATCGTGTAATACATTTTCTTGAAGTTGAGGCTGACCTACTATTAAGATGCTGTGTCCCGCGCGTATCGGTGCGAGATCCGAAATTATAGATGGGATGTCATTTTTGGCTTCGGCGTAGTTATTTTCACGGGCCGCGTCAAGGATCGTTGCGGTGCTGATTTTCGAGCCATAAGCTTGGCTCGTAGAAGTTTCGGCTGAGGTCTTTCCACCGCCTAGCAGACTGAAGTTGCTGAGTTTGAAACTCAGTGAACTGAAGTTGCTGAGTCCAAACTTGGGTCTGGAGTTGGTCATTTTTGTGTTTTTCAAGTGTAGTTTTGCAGCTCGAGTCGTGGAAGTAGAAGTCATCTTCGGGTGTATTTTTCCCCATTCTTTTTGAGGAACAGCTGGTGAATCTGAACGGAACAAGCCGGTCGTGTCGCTCTGTTGTATGTCCTTCCTTCCTGCTTCGTTGGTTTGCTGCTCTCGTTCATCATCACAGTCGGGCTCGGAAGCTGGCAGGGGACTGATGGCCTTGCTAGACGGAGGTGCTGTTCGTCCACCTGCTGGCATGTCTACTTTAGCTGCTTCTTCCTCCTCTTCGGCCGTTGTGGTAAAATTCTCTACCACGACAGGCGACACCTTCATGGCCAGCGCCGGTGCTGGTAGATCACGGGATCTGGAGCCACATGCAGCTTCCTGTGCTGGTGACTGTGCTTCTGGCTTGCGGTGGAGGGTTTGACCATTCGTGTCCTCACCTCTTTTCGCTGTAATAAACGAAAAGACACCTGTGTGGCGGGGCGTCGGCCGAAACGGTTGCGGGGCAGCATGCGGCGAGCAAGCTGCAGCTTCATTTCGCTGGGTTAACAGAGACGCCGTGCTTTTCAGGATGGGTCTGGATGGGAGAGTAGACGAAGCCGGCCGCTTGGAGGAGATTTCATCTACTGCTTTACTTTTCGGTCTTATCCAGATCAAGTCAGAACTTCTGGCTGAACTCGGAATGGAACGATTACCGGACAGGCGTGGCGTCAGTAAATGACTGAAATCGCAGACAAGTAGCTTCAACGGTGGATGCAGTTGCACAGCCTTCCCCTTTCCAAGACTTCTGTTTCCGGCTATAGTGGAGAGAATCGTGCTCACGCGAGTCCTCGCGCCCCCAGGGCGGTTCGGTGTTGCGTGATCATCTATGCAAGGGGGTTCCTGCGGTAGTGCTGCAATCGATGAAACTGCGGTGGCGGTTTTTGTAGCGTGTTGCAGTGAATCAATACCAGATTCTGCAGCGACTGAAACTTGGAACCGTGGTCGGGATGGTGCGACGGTGTAATTGCCACTCCTGTCCCCCCCCGCTGCCTTGCTCCATGCTGACTAGCTGCGGGTCAGAAACGAAGTCCAGAAGTAGGTGGAACAATGCCGATGACTAAGGGGGAAACAGCCAGTCCTTTACGTTTACCATTGCTGCGGAAGAGAGGAAAAAACAAAAGAACTCCACAACGAACTTTGTTGCATCCGAGGCCCAGTAATAGTGGACGCTTTTTGCAGATTTCACCATCGACTCGACTCCGACGTGATAGAGTACTTGCGCAGACTGAAATTTCTAAGAGTAACTACCACACTCCAACAGTCTAGGATTGTCCTCGACGCTGGCGTTGCACGCAAAAAATGCACTGAGACTGAGTTAAATGGAATGCAACAAGATTATTTGCAAAAAACAAATTATGATTGTGGAATCCCACCCTCCCCCCAAAAAAGACCGAGCATTCATGCGAAATGCATCGTTCACAATCGTGTTTGTCCCTAGAGGTAATAAATCTTTCCATCGATAGTAATCTTTCCCTCTGCACCAGCAGAGATTTTGTGTCCACCTAGAAAGTGCGAAGATGAAAAAATAAATGGAAAAAAAGAAAAACAAGTATTGAGCATGAATATACCGCCTCGGGAATGTCTTCCGCCAACAGGGTCGCGTTTGCGCTGGCCGGCACGCCCGCGGCGCGCGAAGACGCGGCCGAAGAGGAGGAGCTGGAGGGCGGGGTACTGCGGATGACCACGCCCGCATGGTTCTTGCGGTCCTGCCCGGGGGAGTGGGACGTCAACAGCGTATTGTCCGCCGAAACGGTGCCGCCACCCGTGCTACCGCCCGCACCGCTGGAGGACCGATTCGAGTTTCGTTGCAACATGTTGCTTGTCGCGCCGCCGTTTTGCTTGTCTGTTGAGCGACGCAGCAGATCCGCCATGAGAGAGTGTGAGTGAAAAAAGTCCCGAGCAATGTTGTACTACAACAAAGCGGAACTTGGTTTTAGTTTTCTCGCGAGATGTTGGAAGATCAACTTCTACTCTGTGACTAAGTATTGAGTTTTCTTTCAGTTTTTGGTTTTTGCAAAAAAGAGTGAATTCATTGACCGAAACTGTTGGTGAAACTGAAAACCAATCTACCTAATTCCATAATTTCGGCTGCTTCTTCGTGCTGCTAGAAAAAAAACGCACTTTCGCTCCGACTGCTTCCGCAGTGTTGCTCTGCCTTCGGTTTCCGCGGAAAAATGGTGCCGTGGCACTCGTCGTTGTCGTTCCTATGCTTCCTAGAAGAAACTCAACCAGGATTATGTGATATATTGAAGCCACGACCAGTTCTTCCACGACTGATTGAAACTCAACGATACTGCTAGAGGGTGCGTGGCACGAACGCCGCAAGCACGACGCCCCTGGCTGCAAGATTTTTCTGCTTTTACCTTTGCTCTTTGCTGTACATGTAGTGAGAGAGCGCAAACGCGAATACCGAGGAGGTACCGAATTATCAAGGAGACGGCGGAGGCTGAGCAAGGCACTTTTTCATCGCTCCAACATAGCGAAGCGGAGACTGTGTTGCAGGCAGTGCCACTGAACCGACCTGCCAGAAGGAGCATCGATGAGGAAACTACAGAATGGAAGAGCGCATAGAGACGACTGACATTTCTAAACTGCCTTCCGAGTCAAGCTTGTTTGAAAGCGCTAGCGGAACACGGAACAGAACAAGAACTGTCAACTCACACACTGCTACGACCTGGCATCGCCGGCTAGTGCATGCAAGCCTGGTGCCTATCATAATTATTATGCAAGCCGTCATCATTATTTTAATTTTGATTTTCTTCTTGCAATGACGTGCTCGCATACTGACGCTCCTTGGATAGTCGTAGTTTCTGACAGGCATCTCGTGCTGCTTGTTCATTCTTTGCAACTCAGTTCCATTACGAAACGAGATGCGATGAGAAAAAGTGCGTTCTGTAGATGAAGTAAATCAGGCCGTGCGCGCCGAAGAGTAAGGCGATCAGGCCATACCGTATTTTCGGCGTGTCCACAGCAATGTCGTTCCATAGGTGGTTACGGATGAATACGCAGGAGAGACCGCAGCCAACCAGGGCTATTACCCACTGCAGGAAGCTTGACGGCAGGAGAACCATTAGGACGGACGCGGGAAGGAGGCTGATGAAACTGTACCCATACCTGAATGTGACATTATGATTGAAGTCGTGTAAACACGCTAGTCACATGGTTGAATGCGTAACGGGTGGTCCTGGGGCCCAGGCATGCACATCCCACTGGCGCTGCAACAGCGAAATGAACAGCACGAGTCAAGAATGATCTATTGCAAAAATCTAAGCATTCATCTTACACGCAAATCAGCTGCCGCAGGTTCACTTCCACGCCCTCGCCGGCGAAGTACAGCAATATCTGCGTCAGCAGCGGGACCCCGACCAGAGCGCCGTAGAGCATGCAGGCGGAGAGGGAGACCAACTCCCAATCGGTGTCCACATCGTGCTCGCTCCAGAAGGACTGCGCAAAATTCCCTGTCGCTGCCAGAAAGACGACCTGATTATGTTCTTGGGTGACATTCAGGCGCTTGCGGTTGGAGAGGCCAAAGCCGTGTTCTGTCAGAGCTTCGCTCGGCTGTCGAGTACTATGATGCGAATCAGCGTGTCAAAGAAATGGATAGAGTGACGCAGCTAGTATCAAAAGCAAGCCAGTACTAAACCCCATACCGCCGTTGTGCAGATCCAAAAGGGTCCCCAGAAGTCTGGTTTGGTTTTGAAGTCCATGACGCTTTCCGGCGTCGCCTCCTTCTGGGGGATCAGGGCAGCTTTTATTCGCCTGGTGACGTCCTCGCTGCTCACGTCGAAGTGGGTTTGGAGGTAGGTGATGTCGAAGCAGAACAGATTTGGTAGAAGCGTGCCGAAGAGCCCGCCGCCCGTACTGCTTGACGAGGAACCGGTCTTGCCGCTGCCGTCCTGAAGGGTTGGTTGTTCACTCCTTGGCTTGCTAGGACGACAAAAGTGACCGTGACCGTGACGGTCACCAGGCATACTGTAGCAATAGCATCTTAGAATCACCACGGAAAATAGCATTAAGATTAACAAAATGCATCCTGATATGGGAATACTCGCAATGGTGCCATGTCATTTGACGTCGTGCCGTCCAGATTGGTCATCGCGGTACTTCCGAGTGATAGTTTCTCGTCGAAGCTCAAACCTGCACCAACTGTTGCAGAGGTATTTTTCGCGCTCGTGGATCCGAGGTCTAGTTCGTCAAGAGACGGATTGTAAACCGCGTCGGCTGCACGGGTAGGCATCGCTGGCCGCTCCCATTGCGTCGTGTTGGTGACCTTATCATCAGTGGGGGGACAAACTTTGAAGACCGCGAGTGCTCTGGAATTGTGACCGGAAGGTAACTGCGCTACTACATCAACATCTGTACGCATTCGCATTTGCAGCTTACGTACTAAGAATAGAGGCAAAAAGGGTGAAATAAAAAATATGCTGTACCGCATTGTGGTAGTAATCTTTCCCATCGTCGGTCGTATACTTCGTCCAATTTGGAGGTAAGGCGTCCATCTTGATGCTGTGAGCTGGCGCAGTTTATTGCGTGTGACGGGATTATCGTCGAAATGAGCCCGGAGAGGGAAACTCGACCTGAATACGGATAGAAAGATGATTTACAAACCAAAATAAATTGCCTCACCAGAAGACTATCGCCGACGTAAATCGACTTCGAGGTTTACATAGATACGCTTAACGTTGGGAATCGATTCCACCAGGTAGGATGTCAGCAAATGCAGATCCAGCCGGAGCTGCTGATAGACAAAGCCGAGGGGCGATCGGAACCTCGTGCTAGGAAAAAGCAGAGCACTGGACTGTGAAAAGGGTGATCCTTTGTCTGTTCGTTTGATGTAATTTCGATTCTTAAACGCAACAGTTGCTGCAACACGACGATGGATTCCAATGAGAATGACCATCTACCGATTGATTTAGTACTCTAGATGAGGCGCGGCAGTCCTTTTCCTTCGGGACCAAGTCAGATTAGGAAATCGCCTCTCATCATTTCCATTTTCCAATATCAATAGAACGAGACAAAAGAAAAAAGCTGGAATTTCAAATTTTCCGTCGCAGGAGGGTACAGCTAGGCCTTGGTAGCCTCTTTTTCCAGACGTGGTCGGTGTGGACAAACACGATGGAAGACTATGTCTTAGCTGCAGCGCTGGGAAGATCGCCACAACTTCAAAAGCTTTAACCGTTGAGACGGAAAAATAAAGAAGTATTTATCAGTTCTTCTTCAGGCAAAAGTTTGACATTTCCAATAACATAATGCGTCATATGCAATTATCAACATATAGCGTGGACGCTGCTGAAGGTGAAAGAGTGGAAAAGAAAGCGCTGCGTTAGCACCATGCAGACTGCTAGCTGCATCCCGCAACTGCACAGATGCTAGGCCGTAATTTCTTTTTTCGTCGTGTGACTTGTAGCAACTCGTCATCGACCCGCCATCTAGGCTTGGCTACTTGTTCCAATATGGGTGCGGAGCGTCCGCTGGCGATATCGTCCCGAATATCCAAGGGTGGACAAAAATCCATGAGCAGCACCACCATAAAACTTGATTTATTTTCCATTGCAATGACAATGCTCAATTACAATTTGTTTCCAGCCGGACATCATATTGATACGTTCAGAAAATCATGGACGCAAGCATACTCGCGTCGCAAATATTTTCATGGTGATGCTATGATGATCTAGTTCTTGCAGGTGGATATCAAAATGCTCCAGGTATTTTTTCGCCAGGTGTTTGATGTACCCATCTGCGTATCATAATTCAACACCGACTCCTCCTCCTGTTCCTGTACAGCTTTGCAATCATTCAAATTTGTTGTGCTTGCGCACCACCTCCACCACCACCAGCAATCAAACAAGTAGGCGGTGCAGTCAGGTCCAGGTGCATTTGAGAGAAATCATCGGGCTCGTGTCCTCTTCGTTTCTTACAACGGAGCGTTCCGAAGCAATACCTACAGCTACATGGATCTGACTGCTCTCAGAAGTTGACGGATGCCATAAGCTTTGTACCTGACAAAGAAATACGACCAAGGAGAAGTTACACTTGTCCAATATGATAAAACAGCTGTCGGGTTTACTTTGTCTGCGTCAGCACCAGCAGCAGCCATGTCCTGGGCCTGCGCGAGCCTCCTTGTGCTCCCATGTCTGGCCTTCGCGGCATTGGTAGTGACGCGGAGCGCGAAAGCGAACCCATTGCAGGCTTCGCGACCGACCAGGTCGCAACCACCGTTCAGTAAGGATAAAGGATCGCTCACGGAAAAAAGCAAAAAACGACACAAAGCCCGCAAAATTTTGGCCCGTGATAGCGTGCCGGGCAGCATACCACTCTTCATTTTGATTTTTGGACAAACCACTGGCTACTCAAGACTACAACCTGAACCTAGATTAGTCACCAATTTTAAACAGACCCTCAATGTCACGAACTTCCCACATCTGGAGGGCGTGAATTTTGTCTGTTATCTGCCAGCAAATTGCGTGTGGATTTTATTGACTTAAGGCATACCAGAGGAAATAAAACGCCAATCCAATTGCTATCTTACTCTCAGCATGATGCTACCGCTTTCTCTGCAAAAATCGATACGCTGAAAAACCACCATTGAGAGACAATCAATAAATCACCTCATCGGGCGTCCTCGAACTCTGAAGGCAATAAATGTTTTCTACAAAAACAACACTCTAAGTACTTGTTAAATATTCTCTGATGTTATCGGCTCGCATTCGCAAAGATACAGGATGCACTACCATGAGCATGAGAACGAAGAGGCGAGGCATGCCATTATAGACACTGCTTCACAAGAATCAACACAATCCGAACAAGGACATGTAGTCGATGCACTACTTGAGTGCCTACTTCTTTTTGGAAGGCTCAACTCATTCTCATACCGGGTGAGACTGCATCTGAATCATTTGTTTCAATGGTGAAACGGAAAACATCGAAACATTTCAATTTCTTCATCCGAACGATCAAACTGCTGCGCATTTTTGAATACACAACAACATTTCAAATCACTGCTGCTCAACAGACTCGCTATCATAACAACCAACGAGTCAATTAACAGGATTGCCAGCGCCTATTCCTATCGTCGATGAAGATAGGAAGCACTTCTTGCTCTCAGCTTTTTATAGTTTTTCTTTGTACGATATCTTGGATATGAACAAAAAAAAATGAAATGCCTAAAACTGTTTTTGAAGCGCGTTTTATTCTATGCATTCAAAAATGATAATATCCGTATCTGCCCTATCCACAGACCGCAATTGAAGCGTGATTTAGCTGTAGCTACCCAGTTTTGCCGAGATACAGCTCTGGTTTCAAAAGTAAATCAAACGCATATGGTTATGGGCATATTGGGAAAATAATTTTCTGAGTTTTTAGTGTTCTTCTTCAGTCAGAACAAAAAAACTAGTTGGGTGCCGTGAATGTTGCTTCGCTCTCTGGCGAAACATTCAAATTTACGATTTCTCTTCGTCTTTGTGGTAATTTCCTCAATTACAATTGGTCATATGTTTCGTGGATGAAATTTGAATTTGTCCTCTTCAAAATGAAAATAATCGTAGCAGGTGGCGAAATAATGTTGCTGCTACCTCTAAGATGCAACAACAAATAATCCATCCGCTCTGCTGCTGCTCATTGGGAAACAAAAAGTTAGGCAATCGCGACACTTTGTTCGGACGATAAGCCTCTTGTGCATTAAAAATGACATCGCTGCTATGTATTTTCTTTTTCACAGAGACATGATGAAGCGGTGTAGATGCCAGTGTCGTTGCCACACACGGAACTTTAGCTGATGTGATTTTTCATTCTCCGTTTCCAAAAATAAAATTTGCTTCTTTTGTACACATGATTTGACTTCCCCACGGTTATGGGGCTATGAATCATGCATCGAGGGCTAGGGGCGCGATTCGGAAACGTACCTACTCCCACAGTTGTAGACGCCCACAGATGGACGCATTTAGTGTCGGGATCAGGGTGAGCCATCATTCATGATAACGTAGGAAGTAGCGGGTATGTTGAAAATTGGGCGTGGTCTCTATCTAATTTGGGGGCTTACCCGAAAAAGAGACTGCGTGTCGCAATGAATCTTCGCATGTAGCAAAAAAAAGGGATCATGCGTCGAATGGTAATTGAGCAGGGTAAGGGTTACTCCAATGCATCGCTTGCTGATGGTGTAGCAGCAACTGGCACTGCAGGCAGACCATGAGTAGCGTAAGCATGTCGAGTTACACTTCAAATAAAGTGAACAGAACACATGCAAATGATTAAATGACCTGCAAAGGAGATGCGATGATAAATTAGCATATCAATCTCTTTCAGTCATCGTGTTTTTAATACTCGCAAGCTGCACTAGATCGCACCTTTTATATTGTCATCGAAGTTAGCAGCGCGGTAGTCGCAGCTGCCGAATGTCGTCACTGTATGAAAACCGAGCTGAAGCAATCATCTCTTTTGCGCGCGGCGGTGCTCGCCCGTGTAGTGCAATTTTGGATTTCGCAGTCGCGCTGTCAAAGCCTACACGACACATCCGAACCAAGATCACATCGTGAGACAAAGCGCTAAGATTGAGATGAGCGAGCAAAAGCTGGATTTCACTAGGGTATGAATCGTTAAAAAAAAGTCGGTGGCTTGTGCTTGAGATGTCATCCTTCATCCGCTTTACGCAGATTCCTTCATCCATCTCGCGTAGATGCTCTGCTCCTTTCTCGTCCAATACTCGAAGATTTTCTGAGAAGCAAATCGAAGTACAAGGAAGTAGCTAATCATAAAGCCAAGGTACTGCTACTGTATAAGAATCAAGTGCGTGCTCGCTTCTTCACGTGAGCAAGTTCCTTTTTCACAAAGAAAAATCTCAGTTGCTGTTTGCAAGTTGTTTGTTGACGATTATCTTTATCACCTGAGCGCCAGAGCAAAGCAACAAGCACGAAGTGCGGTCTTTCTTGTGAACGAGAATTTCATTTCAGATTTCGAGGGGATCCAAAGGCAAGCAATTGGACGGGAATTGATGTCAACGTCAACCCGGCAATTATAACTGCTGTAGAGCGTTGTACAACTTCGATCACCAGAGGCTAAGGACAAACCTTTGCAAATCAACATATACTGAACCAAAAAGAAAAACCGAAGCGAAGCGAATAACAAGAAAAAATGAAAATGACTGCTTGCTTAACGTCTCAGCCTTGACAAAAATGAATGTTGGGTTGCAAGATATGATAATAAATACATCGGCATTTCTGCCGTTTTGTAAAGTCAGGCTCTGACTGTTTGTAAAGCGAAATCTGCCGTCTATTGTTTCCACACCACATCAAACCGAAACTCGAAAAAGAGGCAGCACGCGTAGAGACACGAGCTTCACGGGCAAACACAGCATCGCGAGGGGTAAGTTTGTAACATTTCACATGTGATCATCCTAGGTCGAACAACTCGAAGGCCAGCGCTAACAAATTAATACTATATCTGTGTCAATGCGGAAAGACAAACAAGCATGATGAATGAGAATGATCCGAATAATAAAATTGTTGGTAGCTGCTTTCCCTAATTATTGGAGCTGCCCGTTCCAAAATCATTTTTCCGGTCGGTTTTTTCTTGGAGAGAATCCTGTTGACGTTGACGCAATACACAAACGCAGTCTCATCTCCTCAATTGTCCCGGCGCGTTCTTAACGCTATCCCTGAAATCGCAAAGCTTCCGATGTATATTTAGATTTAGGACCAGGTTCAACTTCAATATCAAAACTTGAACTTGTGCAAAAAATAAACACGCACAAAAAGGTTCTATATGCCGAACAGTTTTAGTCTCTTTTTTAATACAGTGGATGTCCGAGCGAGCCTACAGTCTTCGATTTGTTTTGCCCGTTATCGTTTTTTGTATCCTTGGAAGCTTCGGGGATGGTCCGACAAAGCGGAACTCTCGCGAGTCCGACGCGGGCTGATGTGCTGGACGGGGATGTGACGTGGATCCAGCGGAAAAATCCGCCTTACAGCGGCTGAAGGTACTCGGCACAAAGAGCTCAGATTTCTTACTCATGCTAGCTGCGCGTCTGGGCTTCAGCAGCTTCTTAGCCACTTTTCGAAAGTCGAACAAGGTCTTTCCCTGGGCCGCGATTTTCTTGTGGAGCGGATCGGTCGTGGTCTTCTTGATGTGGCGCTCGATTCGCATCTGGCGACACGGGTGGTCGACGCGCACGATTTTTGCCATTCTCCACTGCGACAACATCTGATGTATAAATATAGAAAGTAAAATCCCAAAGGGAAGTTTGAATAGAGCACAGAGCATGTATAGTTCCTTTTCTGTGTAATACACGGAGACGCGGCACTGTAATTCTTGTACTCATTTAATAGTGATCGTCACTGCACTTCTCGTTACGGTCATACTCATGACCATCTCCAACTAAATAGTTTTTTGTTTTTACGTTGATCTCCGTGTTGACATCGATATGATCATCTGAATATGCTCGACTCTCAGGCTTAGACTGTTCCTGTGCGATTATACTCGTATTGTCCCTCGTCGCATTGGCATTCACTGAAAAGTAATAAATTCCTTCAAGAGGCATGTGCGTAGTAGCACGTGAATAACTGCTACTTTTATATCTGTATCTTCTAGCAGCAGCTTTTTTGCGGATGCGGAAGTCTGTACATTATAATATAGACACCTGAATTATTCCTGCTCTGCGGGCCCGCGTCCGACAGTTTCGCCTCTTAACCCAGACTTTTATTGGCCGTTTCGTGTTCATGTTCACGTTGTACTGTCTCAGGATCGCTTTACTGGACCGCGCAAGCTGGCCTACCAGTTTTCCTCGGTCCCACTTGCGTTTCTGCTTCATCGACAACTGGGTAACCCCTAGCACTCCGGTATTGGACGCCTTTCCACGCCTTCTTGTCATTCCTGGCTGCACTGCTCCATGAACATTCAAAGCAAGCCGTCGAAACACTGTAGTGTATTGCTTTAGAGCTGATGAAGGAAGATGGTGGACGTATTGCAAATCGAAAATGGAGTGTGAGTCGATCACTGTAGCCGAGCCGAACTGAGAGGTATATAGAGATCGTTTGTATCCCTTGACCTATCACTCAGGCTCACATGACAGAAAAACCCTGCCGCGGAGGCCTCAAGTCAAAGAGATGCGCGACACTGTCGCGATCAGTGTACCTCTTCATCTCAACGTCAACTACGAACTCATTTGAAAGCTCTTGTTCTTCTTCTTGCCGAAAGGAATACAATACACTGCGCGTCCTGCAGTGCTGCTCTCTTTGCATCTCGGCGGGTCGGTGCTGGGAGTCCTTTTTTCGAGGCTGCAGCACGAAGCTTCCGCAACTTTGGTGCGACGAAAAAGTACCTAGTGCCATTTCGCAAAGAAGCATACTGGTCTTTCGCGCTTCTGCTTCATCAACCAAAGATCGGCGAAGAGATGATCAGCAGCAGCAGCTGTCGACCACTGGGCACAAAATTTATATCCGCACCCGTCTACTCACTTATGCAAACACGACAAGAGTGGCAGAATACGAGACGCGCGAAGATCTCGAAAAGTAGACCAATGCGGTACCTCTTCATCCTCCGCGTTGTTTTCTTTCCCACTTCCTTGTGCTTAAACTGCACGCGCCAGCAGTCGTACTCCGCTGGATCCGTGGGTGGTACTGGGACTTTACGCGCGCCGAGCACTCTCTTCTTCATCACGTAGACATTGTCTTGGTCTTCGTAGCTTATCAACCCCCTTCGTGCGTGTTCATCGTCAAGCTTATCCTTCGAGCTCGCCTTCTCGAGCAAGAACAGCTTCATGTACTTCCAGCCGGGAACGTAAGTGATTCCCTGATTATGTAGGGTAATTATGTATACTTAGTTCCCGGTTTTATTTTTTTTCTACGAACTTGGCAAACGCAAAATCCAAAAAGGCAAGAAGTGTGGGGACAATCAAAGAACGAAGTAGCTGATCAAACCTGGTGAAGTACTCCTGACTCAAACTCCTTCAAGTTCTTCAACACATCTACGTACACCAAAGCGCCCAAAATAAGTACCCGCATATCCGGACGGATGTGTGTGCCGCGAGTGCGAAGGTTCGGGATAGCATGAGGTAGGGGTCGCGGCAGCGGTATGCTGGGCGACCACGCGACATCGCTCTTCGAGGATGGAGACGAGTCATTGCCACTGTGACTGTCATTGTCCGCACTGCTGGAGGTCGGAGAATAATCTGGTGATTAGAAAAATTCGTGGACATTGTCCAATCTATTCATGTATGTGTTGTTCTCATACATATCAACACAAAGAAATACGGCAAAGACATGCTTTGCGATTCTCTGGCTTGAACAGCGCCTTATTTACCGGATGAGCACTCCCTGCTCCGCGCGTACCGTTTTCCCAAATCCTTCTCGAACGCTCTCCGTAGAGCGCCAAGCGTTGGCGGGAAGGCCACTCCAGATCCGCAACCGATCGTATGGAAGTTGGAAAATATCCTACCGCGCTTGCCATCGCGTCGCAACTTGTCAAGTACCAATAGATACCATACTCTGTCTTCTCACTGGGCATTACAACAGCAGCTCAAACAGGAATGAGATAGCAGCGATCCTTCCAAATGCATCTTCTATTTTTCCACATGATGCGCGCTGACATAGTTCTCTTGTGGAACACTTGTCTACGCTGGCACAAGCGAGCGATCACTTTCAGTCTGGATATGGTAAGAAGGCTGGTTCGAGCTTGAAAGGCACTGGAAACCAATTGCTACTTGTTGTCGAACAGTGATTTGAGTTCGAGTCGGCTACATAGACACCGTTCTGCAGTTCTCGACCCCAGTGCTGCTCGTACTCCAATCTCGCCAAAAACTCCTGGTAGACTGACAGTTTATTGGCGTATTGCTTGTTCTGTTCACCTCCTTCAGCGCCGCTCTGCAGCTGCATTCTCCTGTACTCGGCGTCCAGAAAGTTCTCAGCAGCCTCCACCTCTTCCACATCCAAAAAATTGTAGCAGTTCATACCCTGGGGCATCTTTCCGGAATTTCCGAAGCAGGCACGGTGAAGATCGCCATGCACTGCAGTTTTCGCATGCGTGCTCCTAAAGAATGCACAACAGAGGCAGCAGGAAGCGCCTGTGGTTGCTGCCGGCTTTGCGCGATGAAAACGGTTCTGGTACGAGTCTTCGAAAAATCTGCGACAACAGGCACCTGGTGATATGCATTTGCGTTCAAATTTGCGAGTGATGCGCAAGCACAAGGTCTTCTCGTAACCGTCATCAAATCACAAGCACCAACAAACCTACGAAAAGTCATCCACCTTGTTTCTTCAGAAACGCGGACAAGAGTCCCTTCGGCACGCCAATCTCTTGATCCGCAGCCGCCGGTGGACCCTCCTCTTTTCGTTGATGTCCCGGACCGATGACCGTCGGTTTAGGGTGATCAAAAACGGGAAACGTGGAAATTTCTAGAGCAGTGGGAAACGAAACGTCCACGACACACGCGCAGCTGTCCGCTATCACGCTGTCCTCGCCCTTTATTGACCACGTCCACGTCATTGTGACAAGATGAGCGGGCGACACGGACCCGGCCCGCGCATTGCAGCGGCCTTCTAGATTATCAAGGACGAGACAAACCAACTTATCCAAAAACGCTAATAGTCTACTGATACATAGATTGATATATACAGCTTTTAGGAGCCTGCATGGCTTTCTTTCGGTCGCCTGCGCCGAAAAAGGAAGTGTTGTCCTCGGCGGGGCCGTTCAACTCTCGGCGCCGGCGCTGACCTTTTTTGTGCTCGTCTGAATCATGCTTGTTCTAGTGATTTTGCAACTTCTTGGACGAGAGGCCCTGTCTCTTTGGATACAGCGTTTTCGTGCCGAGTGGCCCACAAATTCCCCACTGCACCAGGTCCACTCCGGCTACTTCATCGCGTCCGGTTTGCGTTGCGCCGAGCGTAAAAACCGGCTTGCCAGTGGCAAGATCCGATTTGTACATCGGGTAGATCAGGCCCCCGAGCTGCGTCACGGTATGCGTCAGGAAATACCATCCGCTCACCTCCGGATAGTTTTCGCTTTTCAGCAAGACCTTGGCGGGTGGGTGGGTCGTGTCTTGGATGCAGGATTCGAGCCGCTGATCGGCTTGTTGTTCTTGGGCCTTATCTGCTACCGTGGAAAAGTTGCGGGCTCTTGGCTCAGCCATGTTGCTCAGCTGACGGCAAGGTATGATCTTTCTCCCTTCTAGTACCTTCGCTGGAAGAAAAGCTAAAACGCCATGATCGCTGCTGGTATCCTCGTGCTCGGTTTCCAGTGGACGTTCACGCTTAGCTGCGGTCGCGCAGGAGGGAAGCGACGAATCTGATTGCTTTTTTTTGCTTTTCTTGTCACCAACCAAATGCCCGCCTCCGTTGTGTTGTGTTTCGGATGTCGGTTTGTTTGCAGACCGATTGACGGGAACGGGTGCAACCTCCCGCTTCACTTGTTGCAGTGGATGACCCAAAAAGCCGATACGTTCTGACTGCGTTTTAGTGCAAGGCGAGTGCTGCTCGTTCTTGATCCGCAGTGTTCGCGTTCCTGCCTCCTCGCGAGAGTTTTGAAAGATGAGATCTTGCTTGACCCGAAAACGGGGTAATTCCGGCGACGTTGGTGAAGTGGGCTCTTTCTTAATGCGCACAGGATCGCGCTTGCTCGTGCATTCAGGCTCGCAGTTGACTCGGCTGCGGCGACGATCAGCGGCCCCGGGTGAGGTGGGCTCGCACTTGATTCGGGTCGTGGGAGCGCAGTTCTCTCGCTCTGTGGCCGAACTCGTGGTGATCAGCTCTGGGTCCCGCTTGATGGATCTTTCACTCGTCACGTTTTCAGGAGGAGGCACTTCTGCCTTGAATTGAACATCGGGAGAACCAGAAGACTCAGCTTTCAACAAACCGGATTCGCCTACGATGGGTGACACGGACGACGTTCCCTCTTGCTTGATGCTGGTTTTTCCGCTTTTGTCAAAATCAGGAACAAAAGACGCTGCTGAATGATGCTGGCTGGACCCGGCCTGCCTGGACAGGGACGCCGATGCGTCCTCACATGCGTCGTCACCAGGATTTTGCTTCTGCTCTCTCTTGATCCTGGAACGGCCGTCGACTAGTTGTGGCGATTCCGGCTTTTGTTGTTCCTTTACCTGTGAAACACCTGCTCCCGCTGCTGGTTCCGGTTCGGCAGCGCAGACAACTTGTGCGTTGTTGTGATGCTTGCTTCTCGTGCGTGTAGTCGTGATTTCCGAATGCGAATCCAGATGCTGTTCGAGCATCGCCAAACGAGCTGCGCGTTGCATTTCCAACCGTTCTGCTCCTTTTTCGCCCAGCACACGCATGGCGTAGCCGCTCTCGAGCAGAGTCCTTGCACTAGAGCTTGTCCACTGATTCCCATTCGCGTTATCCGCAGCAGCTTTACTGTTTCTGGCGCTGCCCTGCTCTGCATCTCGAATTCGTCGTAGCAACCACACCAAGACGGCCCGCTCCTTGAAATAGGTATATAGGCTCTCGGAAATTCATGTGAGAGTCCATTTCTGAAAATTTAAAATTCGCAAACTTCGAAACCCTCTGCGAATCTTATAACACGCGCCCAAAACCCGGCCCCGGCGAACCCCATTCAGCTTCCAAAGTCAACAAGGCCCCGAAAAGGGGGCTTCGAGAACTCTGAAAGATACGCGCCGTTTTTCTTCCAGAACTCTGGAGCTTCTCTTTTGTGGACTTCGAACAAGCCGGCCCTCGATCCGGAGCCGCTTGATCCCCGAACGCCGAGGTTGGCTCCATTGCCTAGTCCATGAGGTGCCCACCACGGCTTTGAGGTTCCGAAGCCAACAAATTCGACACACATGAATTTCTCAGGCTCTGAAAGAAAAACGGCGTCTTTCTTTCAGAGCCTGAGAAATTCATGTGTGTAAATGTTGAGCCAATCCCCTTCCATCAAAAGGGCGGCTGGTCGCCGGCCGTCTGGGCTGGCTTGATTGCCAGCTCCGGATCACGGCGGCCAAAGGTTCAATCTTTTCAAGTAATCAAATCTGACACACATGAATTTCTCAGGCTCTAAAAGAAAAACGGCGTTTTTCTTCTAGAGCATGAGAAATTCATGTGTGTAAATGTTGAGCCAATCCCCTTCCATCAAAAGGGCGGCTGGTCGCCGGCCGTCTGGGCTGGCTTGATTGCCAGCTCCGGATCACGGCGGCCAAAGGTTCAACTTTTTCAACAAATCGAATTTGACACACATGAATTTCTCAGGCTTTAAAAGAAAAACGGCGTTTTTCTTCTACAGCCTGAGAAATTCATGTGTGTAAATGTTGAACCAATCCGCTTTCGCCAACAAGGCGGTTGGTCGCCGACCGTCGGGGCTGGCTTGATTGCCAGCTCCGGATCACGGCGGCCAAAGGTTGAACTTTTTGAAGAAATCGAATTTGACACACATGAATTTCTCAGGCTCTAAAAGAAAAACGCCGCTTTTCTTTTAGAGCCTGAGAAATTCAAGTGTGTAAATGCCTTTCGCCGGCCCCCGGCTGGTGAAAATCCCCATTGGTAACTGAAACATTTTTCAGCTACCAATGGGGATTTTCACCACTCGGTGAGTGGCGAAAGCGCTTTCGCCACTCACCGAGTGGCGAAAATCCCCATTGGTAACTGAAAAGCTTTTCAGTTACCAATGAGGATTTTCACCTCTAGGTGAGAGGCGACAGCGCTTTCGCCTCTCACCTAGAGGTGAAAATGCCCATTGTAAACTGAAAATCTATTCGCCACTGACGAAGGCGACTCCTCCTGGTGGAAATTAATTCAAGTGTGAAAATTTGTTGGGGCTGTTATTGGTCTCGAAAAACGAGTCGCTTTCAGCACTCTTTTTTTTGCTACCCCCGATGGGTAACAATTCAAGTGTGAAAATTTAAAAGAGTCACTGGAACGACTCACTGCAATGACTCTTTCAATAGAGTCTCAACTATTTCTCTTCATAATTAAATTTACGCACTTGAATTTACTGTCTTTTAAATTTACGCACTTGAATTTGTTGCCAATGGCAATAAATTCAAGTGCGTAAATTTAAAAGACTCCTTCGAAGGAGTCCTTGCAAGGAGTCCCTGCCTGGACTCATTGCAAGGTGTAGCCGGAAGAGTCGAACGCAAATCCAAAACGAAAACGATTCATCCCCAACAATTTGCACTAGCGCCAGCAGATGTCCCAACTACCTCCTCCCCCAACCCCCGCTACCTCCCCTGGGGCCCGAGCCTTCTCCTTCCCAACCCGGACCACCTCCTCTACAAGTTCAGCCGCCTACTCCCGGAGCCAGGTCTTCTCCTGTGGGCCCCGGCCCCCTTCACGCGGAACCCAGACCACTTCTTCCACAGCCCAAGCGCCCTCATCCGGAGCCTGGACCCCCTCCTTCCAAACCTCCGCCACATTCTTCGGAACCCAGGCGCCCCTCGTCCCAACCCGGAAACGGCCCCGGCCCTCCCGCTGCTTTCTTCTAAATGGCCAGACCCGAGGCGCTTCAGCTTTGAAGGCAAAGCCCATCGCCCCCTTCTGAGCTGAGGCCGCTCAACCCTTGCAGACCTACCTGCCCCAGAGGCCGAAGCGGGAGGAGCCTGCCTATGCTGGCATCCACGTGGGGCCGTGTCATTTGTCTCGCCTCGAGCCACCTCGCAGTCGGGGGCGGGTTTTACAAAAATGGCCGGAGTTGAGGCGCTTCACTTCACGAAGGGCAACCAGCTTGCCGAACCACGGCGAAGGCGCTCAGCTTTGTTGGCTTTGCTTGTCCACGGCCCGAAACCTCTTGCGCCCTGGCCTATGCGAAGCCGGGCGCGGACCTAATGCCCTTCCTTTTCCGAGCTGGCCCTAGCGTGGCGCCACATCGACGACGACTTAAAACACCCCACAAGAGAATGCCTGGAGGGCGCCGGAAGGAGGGCTCGGGCAGCCACCTTCCGGCAAAGCCTTGCAGCTACACACCGCGAGGGGACCACAGAGCGCACCCCCTGAAAACCGGAGCCGGGCCCCTCACTATTCAGAACATGCCCTAAAGTGGTTCGCAACGCACTCCACTCAGCTGGTTTCTTAGCCACAATCTTCATAGTGCCAGTGCCGATCGTGAATGCTTGCCGTCTGTAGAGGTGTCGCTCTGCCACTCAGAGGGGCGAACTACAGACGCTCCCGGCGGCCAGAACCCCTATGCCCTGCCCCCAAATCGCGGCCCCCGATGGCCGACAAAACCGCCGAAAACCGAAAACACGCAGAGCCACCAAACTGAGCCGAAACACCTAAGACCGAGAAACACAAGCCGGCGACCAGTGCAACTGCTCCAGTTTTTTCTTCGGGCAAAGGCCCCAACGTGGGCGGCAGGCCTGTGCCCGGGCGACGACCACAACAGAGCAGGATGCCAGGAGTGAGGTCATAACCCAGAGGGCCGAAGCGCTTAACGTGCGAAATAAAAAGCGCGGCGCCGGCGCTGCCGTCGCTACTTCTTGCAGAACTGTAGCGGTTCGACTCTGGCAGCAGCTCCGTGGCTGGGCAACTTGCACAAGCAAAGGAGGCGCGCAATGTTTTGCCATTGGCGCTATTCGAAAACTGCGAAATTTAAATTTTCGAACATGGTACTAGACATGAATTTCTCTGAGCCCATAAGGTAAAAATCTCGTTAAACAAGATATCCTCGCGCGATAGTTCGCTCTCCCCTGAATTTGTACGGGAGGCCGCAGCAAGTAGGTCTCGTTCTCGATCGAAGTAGTTGCGTATCTCGGAAAAACTTCTGCACAACCATGGCGATTCTGGCTGGTTGTGTGCTGTTATTTCATGAAAAAGAAGCAACATTTGTTGTTGTTTTCAAAAAAATTGCGCATCGGTATCGTAGGTGGGAATGTTTTTCATGCTCGTAGATGGGCTCCAAGAAATTCACACATCATTATTTACGGTTCGAGTGTTCGGTTTATTCTCGTACAACGCCATGATCAACGATCAAAAAAAAATCCTCTCAAAAACAAAAAGCAAAACACACGAAAGTGATAATTACCGGTACCGGATGGATTGCAGACGTTCGCAAATGTCTGTGTCGCACTGTGACTGCCTCTGTACCATTTCAACGATTTCAGCAATCCCTTATGGGACCTGTGCGGCTTGTGAAGTTTCGCGACAAATTTAGGAGGCAAAAGGTGGGTTTCTAGATCAATGTCTTGACTCACTTATTCCTGTGCAGTTGTTTTCTTTCCGTCGGCTTGTTCTTTTTACGCCTCGAAGCCATGCACGCTGAATTCAACGATCTACACTTACAAAAAAAGGTCTCGAGGCCATATAAGGCAGTGCAAATGGAAATGCTATCGATCCACGTCCAACCTTGAATGGGCGCATAAAACTACACATAGTTCCTGCCATTTTCATTCCGATTATCTAATGGCAGCAACTGTCGCGAGGAAAGAAACTTCTTGACGCGGCATACTACTTCGATGAGCTCGATGCAGCGAACGTCATCCGGAATGTCATTGCTTGTCGGTGCTGGCACATTCGCCGGCAGCACGAGATCTTCCGCCGAGACAGCCGCGCGTGACATCGTTTTTGCGGTGCGTTGGCCGCAAGCAGCAGATGACTTCAACCCGTCCTCGATCGTCCACAGCGGTGGCTTTTCGCCGCTTGGTGTTGGTGCTTGTGCTGAGAAGGCCGAAGAAAAAAACGTCAATGGTTCTGCCGCGTTTTCACGGGTGTGGCAATGGGCAGGGACTTGCAGGGGGCGCCTACTCGTCGACGAAGAGGAAGATGAAGACGACGCCGATGATGATGCGGAAGCCCTGCAATTCTGCAGCTGTAGCTGGTACTTTTCTGCCTTCGCGGCTAGTTCTCGCCGCTCGTGATTGTGTTGGGCATGGAGATGGTTCCGCAGTACTTTGGCCTTTTCCGCAAATTCCGGCACAGCGAGCGGCGCTGCGTGTCGCGAATCGATGGCGACGAGGCCTCCACATGTTCCACCCCCCCGCTTTTCCTGGTACTCCGTTCTGGCAGGATTCATCCTAGCCCAGTTTTTTTTTCCGCCCTTGCCCACGGCCCACTCGTAGCCATACCAAGGGTGTCTGGTATTCTTTAGAACACCGACGTCGACCCACTTGTTCGGGGGAAAAGGGCGCACGACGTTCTTGTTTGAGGGCGTAGGTGGCCCAGAGGGGCCAGCGTTCCTCATGATCTCCGCCATCGCTTGTTCTTGCCCGAACAGAGTATTCTTTTTCGCCCCACCAAATAGTAGAAATCACGCACAGAGGAAACTCAAAAATGCTAAGATACAGACTGTAGAAGCCGCTATCTTGTATTCTTGCATCCAATTTCGAGATCGAAAAAAGAACAGAAGCATGGCGAAAGCAGAAAAGCAAGCGGAGAGTGCCAGGTCAGTGGGTCATTCGGTATTTCTATTTTTCTGCTCGGTATGAAGCCGAACGTCTTCACCGGCATCAACCTACATGTAAGTACTTACACCCCATACTCGTTTGCCGAAGAGATACAGGTCGATCATGATCTGCGGCTCCAGCCATGTTTTTAGCTTCGCCTGCAGATACATGAACCTGTGGGCGCAAGGCGAGGGCGCGCGCTAGCAATCTTGGAATAAATACAGAGAATCAGAATGGTCTGACTTCAATTTTCAAGACATCTATGAAATTGAAACCAGCACACTTTGGAGAGTAATTGCAATGGCCGCAGACACAATTAACTTGCAGACGTAGTTCTCTCTCGCTCAACTAACTATGTCGCAGAAGTCAAGGAAGCAGTTTTTTTGATTCTTTCGGTTCTGCCAACATTTTGACACGTCCATTTTGAATTCAAAGAATGATGTTGCTGTTGCAGATAATGAAACACGAACATCTGCTGGTGTCGACAGCGACGGTTCATGGTAGACCCACGTCCAACTTTGAGAGAGATTCAGAGTAGGGACAGCACTCCGCATCAAATGTTTCTTTTTCTTGTTGCTCGGGAGCATTTATTACTACTATTCGATACAAAACTACGGAGTTTCATCTTCTGTTGACGAAGATCAACGTGACAAACTGCGCGCACGATCAGAATCGCGCCCGTTCCGAAATCGTTCGATCCCACAGCTCAGGTCCTGAAGCCTCTTGACCGGAATCCTTGGACCTAAATGCTTAGCGCCTAGCCTTAGGATGTTCATGATGATGATGATGAGGGTGATGGAGATGGTGAGAATGATGAACATGATCAAGCTCATGGAAATGGTCAAAGGCAAGCCCTAGAGCTTGCAAAGATCCCGAACCTTTGTCATGTCTTTCCCTTGCCTCAGGTTTGTGGCAGCTCGCGACGCAGTGCGCAATCTCACCCAGTTAGACATTTGACAGAACTCCAGCCCTATCGGCTTAGCCTGTTGACTTGTGTCACTGTGTTCCCCAACATCTTCTTTGAATCTGAAGTAAGTAGCTGACTCGAGTTACTCATACCACATACTGCACCAGCGACACAAAGAGCAAGCAAGTTACAATCGAGACGAAGAGCAGACACGACCACGCAAAGACTGCAGTCATGCGTGCCATGACTATTACCCACAATCCCACGTGCAACAACTTTAGGAACAACATCAACTCCCTCTGCTTTCCCGCTTCGTCTCCTCCGCAAACGGAGCTCGTCGTCTCAGGCACTTCGAGGAGCAAGATTTGACCTCCTACGAGCAGAGCAAATGCACGCATAGGCATAGCTCATCACGTCTCCCGATCCCAGAAAAGCGTCGACAACAGAGTCAAGTTGGTCACCACGACCGGGTACCATTCTCAAAGTTCTGCAGCTTCGTCAGCGATCACAACTCCGGATCGACTAGAGTGGCACCTTTCTCAGCGGCTTCTGGCGCTTACGTTTTCGTCGACCACGCGTTCGCCAAGCCCAGCGCTCTCGGAAAGGTGAACGTTGCAGCGGTGAATAACTGAATGTACGCGTCCGTCGTCGTTGCCCGCTGCGGTCCAAGACCCAATGGGTGGCGCAAGCCGACGGCTGTCCGGATCGCGTTTGCATCTGCCCACGAACGAGTTCTGCTGCCGAAGATACAGCATCGAGTTTCTGCAAAACTCATTCCCCGCAGCTTGGTAGGCGGTGTAGAAAAATGACGGACCCAGTTCCGCAATTATGCCGCTTGTCCTCGCAATTGCAATCTCGCGAGTTCCGCTTCACTTTCCTTTTGATCCGAATCCTTCGTATTCGTGCTTCGTGAACTTTTCGTTTTAGCTGTAGTCTTGATTTCCGCCACACTTTGGGCGTCATCGTGAACATTCACCGTGTCGGAGTCATCGTCAGATTTATTTGGCCAAAATCGTGCCAAGCGTGTTTGAAATACTGCTTTGCCATTACTTGTTACAGGCCAGAAAGACAAAGCAGACGCTTGGACTGGTGGCGCATCATATCCGTTTCTTGGCCTTTCCGTTGTTCTTTCATTTACCGTATATCTGCTTTCAAAGCTCTTTCGTCCTCTCTCTTTTCGTTTACATGTGCCTCTCTCTGTCTCTCCTGGTCCTGAGGAAGGACGCACGACTCTTGAAATGATGGTCTTGAACACCAAAGCTTGTGAATTATCTTAATAAAGAGAGAGTCAAATCCTCCGCGCGCAGATCGTAGCGGGGTTTCATTTTGTGTCGTCCTCTCCTGTGAAGATGGTGCTGTGGGAGACATTCATATAATTCATTCATGCGTGAGCTTTGCCTTGGTTGAGATAACAAACACCACGATAGGGGCTATTGAAATTGCGTCGCCTCGCAATTCGCAGTAGAAGTAGAATTCATTCCTTCGGTTTTTCATCTCTTGTAACCTTTACCCTTTCCTTTCCCACCCTTCCATGCGCCTCCACCTTTGCGATATCGCTTTCTCTTCGGCTTTTTCGTCTTGTCCTTTATTGCTGTGGAAAATAGTTGGATTTTCGCATTGCTGACAGGTTGAAAACCAAGAAATCAGGATCATCCGCCACAGTAGGTTCTTCACGCATAGGAAAGCGAAAGAGTACCATCGAAATCGAACTGTGAGCTCTAGTATGTAAGAATAGAAGCATCCGCGTCAACCAACATTTCAAACAAAAAATACAGTCATCCAGCAGCTTCTTGTCCAAATCGATGTGCTCCGGAAGAAAAATATAGCGAATATTTGGCCCTCGAACTGTCAGGTGGTCGATCCTCACTGGAATTCTTCTCTTCACTATCATTGTCACTTGCTTCAGATGCGTGTTCATCGAGGTGTCGCAGCCTGCATTTCGATTGCGATTCGTCGTTTTCTTTTCATTCATTACAACAGCATGGCCACCATATGAAGAGACAGACAAGGGATGCTTTTTCGATTTTTTCATTTCCTTGATGAAAAATTAAATTGGTACGGCAAGAAAGACAAAGTAAAAGTTGTAGCTACTAGCGTACTTCAAAAATGATTTCATAACCCTCAGCTCACCTGTCATTGTCCCTTGAATTACTGTTCCGTTTTTCATCTCCACCTGGACCACCTCATTGTTCAGCTTCATCAAAAACTGAACCAACTTCATCGTGCATTTCGGGGATGTGCTTCTCTTCGCTCTTGTCGCCAGGAAAAAGCGCAGCTATATTGGGTGCTGACGTGAGTTGTCAACTACAGGCTCTGGTGTCGCGATGATTGGCTCGATGAGTATGTCATTAAAAACGGTTCCGGCGGACGCAAATGAAGTTGCGCTGCTGCTGCTGCCTCTGTACCGCAGGAAGTGGAGGTGGAAGAGACACTGCTAGTACTGCGGGGTGAGAAATATGCTGGCTGATGCTTTTGAAAAATATGTTGCTTGTCGCCTAAAAATGGGAAAAATTGAAAGGAGAATCAATCTACAGGCAGTTCGTCGTCGTCCAAAATGATATCCAGACAAGCAGGAGTCGATGAAACCTATCACGATCTTGGGACTAAAATTAAGCCTCAAAGCTTTGTTTTTCCTCGTCCCTGTCATATGCTGTTCTTGGCCAGTGCGTTCCATCACAATCATCGTTGTAACCACAAGAGAAATAAAGATCGCATGAATAGCAAGCGACGCAGGTATTTACTAGGTCACGGAATATGGAGATCCAGATCGTACGAATAGAGCAGAGAGGTAAAATTTCAGACTTCACTGCACTTCTTGCCATCGCCTTCGGTTTCAACAAACTGAGCTTGATCATGAACATGATCCACCTTCGCCTTTATGTTCATAGATCCTGGACAAACTGCAGCACATCGATGAAAAAAACCAAATTTCGAAGTGGATAAATACGGCGGCTTCTTCGTTCAACATCACCCAGTTTCTTTGCATAAATTCGCTGCACGCTGCAGAAAGGTAAAAATGCCCCTAACTATGCTTTGCCTGCGCGCATGGAGATGCAGAAGATGGTGATCTCTTTTACGAACAACTTTTCATATTTTTGTAAGTGGTATGTGCCAAAGTCGAGGATCGCTACAGCAGACCACTTAGCTTAGCTGGAGCTGATATCTCAGGCACAGCATCGTCATGATCCTCATTTTGTATGCAGGAATTGGCGAACATGCTCGCGAAGCGCAAATGCTGCCTTTGCCCTTCCAGACGTGAAGGGCTTGACGTTCGTGTCACGAGATACACCGTTCCTCTTGTTCTTTTGCTTTCGCTATGCGGATCTTATTCATCGGAAAAGCCTTCAAGAACATTGGAGTGGTTTTTGCAGTCATTTATGTTTCTGTCGATAGTCGTGACGCGCACGCGGCAGGCGCATAAGCAGCACTTCGGCCTGTCGCCGCGCAAGGTAGTAGTACGGAAGATTCATGATCTTGATCATACAGTAGTTCAGTGCCCTTCTTCTTGCTGCCCTTTGATACATATCACTTCAACATGAGGTTCTTGGAGTCATCCTCGTAGTGACCATCCACATTTCTTTGCGTCAGCGTCTGTTGCTTGGTGCTCTTGCTATCGGTTCTTTTTTAGGTAGGTTGTATCTTCTTCGTGCAATGTGGATGCCAATGTCACTCATTTCACTTTCATGCAACACCATGAGGAAAAGAGTCAACAAATAGATGGCACGTCGTAGCTACGCTTGCAACGTCATCAATACGAATGAACTATCCAATCCCCGTAGATGACGAGGTTCTAGCCGTTCTTGTGATCCAACTCATCTATTGATTTAGTTTTTTGCATTTTACAGTCAAAAACGGAATGAAAACTGGACATGCTAACTTGATTTGCATTTTGACAGAAACAAGTTGTTCAATTGTTATATCATAAAGGTATTGTGATGCCCATGTGATCCACTTCCACTGCCAGGTCATTTACAATTAAGTACATTGTACAGGCGAGGCGCATCCATATGTACGCTTACCACAAAAGTCCTGCAAACTAAACCGCAGCTCGGGCTCAGCACAACACCTGTGATCGCGTCAGAATTACGGTTAGCGTGCTTGGATTGAAAATTGTAGAGCATGCTCGAAGATACTTACAAAAAAACAGCTCTACACCCTCTCATTGAAGCGGATGCACACCCAAAGTCGTTCCTACTTCGCTCCACGTCCATATCCCTTCACAGCACTTTCTTGGCCATACTTTGCATTGCTGGAGTTCAACATCAATGGACAGGACGGATTGGGCGTTCTGGGACGAGGCAAGCATAATTCTCACCCTGGCTACTTCATCCGCGGTTTTGGTTTTTCCGATTCCTCACTTTCCTTGATGCAGCGGATGCATACGGGTCTACTCCCCGTCGCAACCTGTTCCGGTAGGGACTGTAGGTCGGAGTGGGTTCACCTTTTTTTATCGCTTCAAGCAGCGGCGCATGCGTCATCTCGTCGAGGACGGAAGTACCGGTATTTGTGTCCTCCATAGAGCCTTTCCACCGTTCATGCCTACTATTGCTTCTCCTCCTTTTCGTTTGCACGGGGGCAGCTCCTGCAGCGAGGGTGTTTGAGGGAAGCGAGGTCGTGGGGAAGGATTGAGCCGGAGAAGAAAGCTCTGTGCTCGATCCTGGGTTTCGGTGTCGCGATGTTGAAACATTACCATGCGTCAAAAACGAGACTGTCCCGTCCGTGTCCTCTGCATGGGAATACGGAGCGAAGGCGCCGGGCGGCGTCGCCGGTGGGACAGGGAAACCAATCGGTTCTCGGTCCTGAAGTTGTCTCGAAAACTCAGCTATTCCCCCTGCTTGCATTAGCGGTGCTGCCGAACCACGTGCGATGTTCCCAAAATTCGAAGTAGATGCTGCAGTCGCAATTGTGCCAGCCCCTGTGGATTGATTTGGACACATCAGCACTCAATCAACAAATCAAAATCATTCTAGTATTTTATGGTAATGCGTGCCTTTGCCCATAAGTACTTAGACTTACTAGACACAACCACAACCGCAGCCAAGCCGGTTCATCTGTTTCCTTCGGTCGTGGGTGGTCGCTTTGTTGCGTCGCAAAAATAGAAATAGAAATAGAATGACGCGTATGCTTCTCAAGGGGAGCGGAATACGATAAACAACATTTTAATTAAAGCAAAGACACGTCGAAACGAGAATATAGAAAATCGATTCTCAAAGAACCCGTCCCTGTCGTTTCGAAACCGGCGCAACGCATCAAACAATGTACCTTGCACTTCTCCCTTGTTGCTTTCATTAGTCATCGTGCCTTCTTTATTGCCAGGTACATGCTGCAAAATTTTCTCTCGAGAAGCTGGAAGCCCGGTCGCCGCTCCCGTCTCGGATGTAGATGCACTCACGCTCTTGCCCGCGATCGAAAGAGCGACTCCTGCCTTCCTATCGACACCGGCACAAGTGGCAGCAGTTGCAGCATCCCCAGGCGCTGCGCCCTCCGTGTCCACGGTTAGCACATTAATATCGCTCGCACTGTAGTCGACATCCATAGGATCACCCGGCCTCTCATCCTCTGTCGTATTCGTCTCGCTTTTCTCCTCTTTCCCTGCAGTAGCACCAGACCCGCCTGCTGCACATGATAATTTGGACTTCTCATTTTCGGCGGCCTTTTTTTCCGCTCCCGGTCCAGCTGCAGACACTCCCGCTTCGGGTTTTTTGTCCGCTGTTTGTGGCTGCGCTTGTGGTTGAGCTTGATCAGGTGTTCGGCTCCGCATATTGTAAGCAAGCATCGCGGTGGTGGTACCGAGCCCGATGAGTAACGTAGGATCCACCGTCATGGGTGTGGGCACGAAATTCCGTGCGTCTTCCTCCATTTTCCATTTCGAGCACAATTCTGACGCCCGACAAGCGGACAGCTCGGCCGCACTGCAGGTCGCGAGGCCCTCCTTGTTGTGCCGGCAATTCTCCGTGTCGGAACGCCACCAGATCCGCCCGCCGTCACTTATGAGGTCGGCCTGGGGCGGCACAGCGACTCCCTCATCTGCGTAGCTGACACCGTTCTCAAAGCGCAGTTCGTATGGAAGAAAATAAACAAGGTCGACTTCGTGTCAACGTCTATCGGTCTTTCAATTCACTTTCACGCATCTTGCATCATCTTCTGCATGACGCAAGAAAAGGATCCGTTACCAGTGTTTACGCATCGATGCGGTAGAATTACAGCCATTCGCATTTGTGTGCGCGTTCTGCATCTACTTGTACTTACAATTAGTACACTAGTAAATTAAAAAATACTGACTACGATGCTGCTCTTGCGTCGTGTGTAAAACACGTTCGCGTATCGTAAGTTCAGTTGTTCAGTACCAGTTTTATCATGCATGATTATGTATAGCACAGCGCAAAAGCAAATACAACCCTGACGTCAGAAGGTCGGCCTGTTCATCTTTTTGCTGTCGTATATCGCGGTCTAGGTCTTGCTTCAGAGGATCGGCTTCGCCATCTGTCAGAATATTCGGCAAATAATCTGTCCACGCAAATCTATTACTCGCAGCGGCACTACTAGCAGTATTTCGATTTTCTCCTTCACGACTTCCGTGCGACGTTTCGAGAAGGTTGTGTCGTCGCCAAAAGTCGTCGTCTAAACCGTCCAAATCGATGCCGTGTTTCTCGTAGGTATTCGTATTCCGATGTTGAAAATCAGGATTTTCACTCGGGCCGTCTGAATAAATTTCACCAGCGGTAGCATGCGAAGAATGGAGGCCAGCAACGGAGGGCCGATTTTGGCCAGCCTCAAATGACACTACATTCTCGTCGCCCGGTCCTGTCCACATTCCGGAACTTACCAATGCTCCGACACCGGCAAGGGCCAGTGCTCGGACGCCGCGATTGGAAGCAAATTTTTGGACAAATGATGGCCTCCTGCTAGTAGCAGCTGACCCTGAATCTCCGCGGCCGATGAGAGCGAGCTGATTCGCCGGGGCTAGCCTAGACTTTCTATCGGGAAGTGGCTTGTCTTCCACGACAACTTCTTTCCGACTGGCTTTTTCTTCACCTGCTCCCACATTTCGATCGCTCTCAATATGCTCCTTCCGACCTGGAACTCCTTCCCTCGTGCTGGCTTTGGCTACCTGTGAGTTTACGACAACCTGCGCAGGCGGCTGAACTTTTAAAGCTGAGGGCATTGATTCTGCATCGGCAGCAGGCGAAGCAGCAGGAGGACTAGCTTCTGGAGAAAGAGTAGAACGCGAGGAAATGCTAGCCACCGAGGGCCTCGGAGAAGGTGAAGGCTTCCGAGAACTTGAACTTCTCCTTTTCGAAGTTTTAGGGCTCGTTCCAAGAAGATTTTCTTGAGTACGCGGAGGAGATGATACTGCCTCTATCACTCCAGCCCTTTCTTGCGGAGGATCAGCAGGGAGCGCTCGTCCCGCCCTGCTGCCACTCCGCCCCCGTGCTGCTCTCGCTTCACCAGTATGTGTGGGATGGTGTCCTCTAGGTGGATCGTCCTGGTATAATATCAGCGTGCTTTGCTGTTCTCCGCCTCTGCCACGACGGTTGGAACCGGTGTATCCTCGGCGGCCACCACGACTGACTTCACTCGACTGCGACATTGGTGTAAGAACCCTTGCCGTTGGTGAGAGCGAAGCTGCCCTACGAGCAGGACTTTGATCTCCTCCTGCTGGTGGTGGCGATTGTGCGGTGCTTGTCGTCTGTACCTTCTCTGTACCACGACTTCTGCGAAGAGGTGAACGTCGGCTGCTTGTAGATGCATCTCGACGAGCATCTCGTCTCAGATCTCCATCTGTCGCAGCCGGATCCTCGCGTTTCCGTCCGCTTCCAGAGCTTGGTCTCTCGCGGTAGACAACAACAGCAGCAGTGTCTACTTCTGTGGAAAGGTGATGACCAGAAGGCACTGTGCGCGACGGCCTTAATACTTCAGCGAAGCGAGGTTCATGATGCGGCCCTTTATCACTCTCGCCGGTCTCTAACTCACGAAGAGGACGAGCTCGAACAACATTCGGAGTATCTTCAATCTCGTCGTCCGGCGGGTCCGCCGTATTTGCATGGACCGCGTAAACATCAGCTAGATGTAGATGTGCTGCAGTTTCAGATCGCGCCTCGTCCGAGACGTCAGCGACTACGCCGTCCGTGTTCTTGGAGCTGGCCGGCATTTGCATTTCCGTACCACGTTGTGCCAAGTTGTAGCTAGCATCGGTGCTAGGATTGGCATTCTTTTGTACAAGATGAGAACTTGCTGAGGTCCGTTCCGCTGTGGTATTCTTGTTTGCGACGTGGACGTCCTTTTGTTCGGAGCGGAAGCTGCGCGCAATCCTCTGTGTCACCTGAGACTTCGACCCTTCGTTGTGCTTCTCCCATTTTTTGAGCCACTTGGTTATGACACAAAAGCGAGTGACGATTCTACATGTCGCACGTGAGGAATTATGCATGGAGCGCCAAAGACGAGATCGCTCTTTCGTGCAGTAGCGAATTTCGCCGCTACTTTCTTTATACATCATGCCGTGTTCCGAGTTTCACTGGCATATTAAACAAATCTCTTCATAACACAGATCTTTGTTCTGTCTCCAGAGCACGGCCACTTTCTGGTCTGCGATGCTCACGTTTTCATTCGTATCTATGTGGTCCTCGCCCTACAACTTCATGACACAACAAATTTTTGACAGAAAAGGAGAAAGAAACTGTAACTGACACCCTTCTTTATTCGAAATGCACACCGCAGCTAGTACTCTTTTTAAATATAATCCCTATTTGGAAATATTTTTTTCTGTGATTCCGTGATTGGGAAAGTCACTCGCTTCCGTCTCTTATTCTTTCCTTCAGGCGTGTTCTGCAGCAATTTCCACAATTCCTGCTGGTGGTGCTCTTCAACTTCTTCGGCAGCCTCCGACGACGGTTCGTCGTCCTGTTCACCGTCCTCTGCTTGATCGGGTCCATCTCCATCGTCAACCGGACTCCCCGCAGGTCCAACGCGCACAGCGAAGGCGAAAGGCGAAATGGAAGTAGATACTGCCGTACTAGTTTGCGATCCGCTGTGCGGCACCAAGTAATCCGGAGCGAATGTCAACCACCATAGCTGCACTTCCGATTGTGGGTTCAAGAGCGCAGCGACGTGCAGGACGAGGGCCCAAATCGGCAACTTGTGGCTCTTTCTCATGTTTCTACGTAGTAGTTTCTCCGTTTTTTATTTCTAGCCGCGTACGAGGAGCCTGCAACATGAACGTCGGAACGACGCAAGCAGCCTCAGAATACAGGAGCAGATCGATGAGAAGACACCACCGTAGTAAAACCGCTGTTTCACGAAGAATAGCCTCCGGCGTTGTCCTGCTGACGTGGTGTCCGCTTGCAAGTGTCAATTTTGGAAATGAACAGGACAGGGATAACGGGCTCAGGCGCTCTTTGACCACGACCGAGCAGGCTAAAAATGAGACTGTAGAGTCCTCAACGTAAATAAATTACTTCATCCGAACTGCAGGCGTGATGACACGGACGATCATCTTGGTTGAACTTCTAATCTTACAACTTCATTCCATTGGCTTATGCTGAATGCGACACATAAAAAATTATAAATTGATTTGAAAACTGACTCAAGAGATGATTGTACATTTACGAACAGAAAGTCGTAAAAAGTCAGAATAATCAAGCTACACCAGAACAACAAGAGTTTCCCGTGGCAGGAATAAATCTTCAAAAAATTATATCTTACAGTGTCTAATACCTAGCAAAATTTATTGTGGGATTTTGGGACACGCCCGACAGATGACTATGTGAAATTCTTCCGCAAGAAGTCAAAAAAAAGAAGCGATGTGATAGAAAACTCCCGTCTTCCGTCAATGCGCAGCTGCGGCAAGGAGGCTGATTTGTTTTATTAGCTGTCGATTAAAATCGGTGGTGCCAGACGAAGTATTCACTTGAGGGCACCAAGGAAAAAAGGCAAAATCCGTTTCACTTTGCTATTCTATTTCCCGATCTATCTCGCCCTTAGTAGTATGAAGTAGAATTAGTACATGTTCCCTACAATTGCATCAATTTCTATTGCCTGATTTTGGATCCGCACTGTTACTGTTTTCCTTTTTCTTTTTCAACATCTTTTCGTATCACCAGAACCATCATGCTGTCCGGCTTTTCAACATCGAAATCGAAAACATTGTGCTGTATGGCCGAAACAAGTAGAGACATTGGCTATGACTATGGAGTGCGCTGGTGATTTTTGGTCGTGCCTGTCCTTTTGGCTGTTCGTTGTAGTTTAGGAGATCTGTGCTAGCCATCGGTTTTGCACCGTTAACTTGCTTCAGTCACTTAAGTTTATTTCTGAGGTACTCGTTTTCGCACTCAGATTCAATCAGATACCATACTTATAGCACGTCAGATCATATGCACGAGCCCTCTCGGTAAAAAAGCGACTGGTGGCCTCAGCAGTTCCATCGCTTGTCAAAATTAAACAATGGAAAACTCACCTGTGCAGCCTGGACAAAAGGAAAAGTTAAACAAATTCAAATACCAAGAAAGTAGATATTATAAACTTTTTTACAAAGCCCGGCTGTACTTCTCTACTTCACTAGCACTAGAACGAGACCCATGTAAGCACTGACACGAGTCCTTTGGATAAAATTTCTGATTTTGTCGCTTAACTGAAGTTTCGTCAAAGTGTATCGTCTATGGAAATGTCGTTGTCGATCGAAGAATGGCAATGCGTTGTAATTAATTCTTGTCACTGTGCTTCTGCTTGCGCCGCACGACGATGTTTGAGATATTCGTATTGAAACCAAAGACCAAGTACGACCTATGGTTACTAAGTTGTTGCACATACGGATAGAAAAAAACACCAGGAGTGAGAAACAGAAAGCGAGCGCTCGAGGAGCAATAAAACCCCAGCCCGCATGCGAAGAAGATAAAAGCACCCTCCACAAACCATACTTAATCTGGAAGCATCGTGAGCATCGCCGTTCCCTTCAACACCCAGTAGTTCGGTTTCTGGTCGGTGTCAAGCATGACAGACAGCACAAAGTCCTTCCTGGAAACCGTTTTGTACAGGGGACATGTGTATCGGAAATACAGGTAGTCCTCTTCCTGCTGGTATGAAAACGAAATCCCGAATTTTGGTCATCTCTTCTCAGCCCTGTTTTTTGGTACTTATTTGGGATACTTTGTTGAGGTACTTGCATCTACCGCTTTCTTTTCCTGGTCTTCGTGTTGCCACGCAGGAACAAACGTCCAGGCTCACATTGTTTTGTAGACATACCACCAGGCAACAACGCATATGCGGCGGAAGACAGACTTTGCATGTGATTTGCTGTTAGTCTGGTGCATGCAAACCCAAATTTGTTGCCTGGTCGCAATCAAAGCCCACACGCAAGTCGTGTGTTTCTGTAGGTGTTCACGACACAGACACACTGACACTACAATAGAATAAAAAAAAACGAAGCACACGAATAGCAACGCGTGGTATCAACGAGCTGAGAAAAGCATTTATCTCTTGCTGAAACGCCAACATCTGTTTCGCGATTTCGTAGATCAGAGTACTTGATCCGCGGGAACGCGGTTGTAGGGATCAAATCAACACTGCCCGGTCGTTCGGCGTCGAACCCATCGCCTACTCCCCGCCCACCAGCAGGTCCACCTCTGCCGGTCTGATGATTTCTCGTCACCCCGTCACCGGACAGCACCCCGTCTCGCCTTCCCGAGATGACCAGAGTGGGCTGGAATTGAATGCACGGCGCCGCACTGTACATGGTCCCGAAGTCCTGGTCTTGCAACAGCAACTGCGCGAAATCCCACTGCGCTGCCTCGAGGAACAGGCCATAGACGAGGATTCCGCACTCGAAAAAATCCGATTTGATCATCTCCAGCTCGTCTCTCTGGAGCTCCGCCGGATCGGAAAACTCGCCCGGCTGGAACTCAAACACCAAGTTGTCGATGGATATCATGCTTTGAGGATCAACACGGTGGTGCTGATCATAATTCGGTGAAGATCCGGACTGGTGCAAGGAAGGAGCAGTTCCACCTTGCACAGCCGGTCGATTGAAGCTAGTCTTGCTGCTTTCTCTGCTGCTTCTCAGAACCGTCGGCCCGAGGCTGTTATTATTTCCACCTAACGTTGTGCTCGCTGAAGTCGAATACAACCTGGCACAGGCTTGGAGCACCGCAGTTAGGAACCCTTGGGGAAAGAAGAAAGCGGACAGCCAGAACGCTTTCGGTGTGATCTGGCGCAAGCTCAAGGCCGCATAATGAAGATGACTACTCTGCGAATTACCAGCACCGCTCTTGTGCTGATTCGCCACTACCTCGCGCAAGTGCTTCTTCACGAGCGAATTGATCCACTGTTTGCCAAACCAGTCGAGGCGGTCCAAGAAATCGTCGATGAAGGACTCCAACTTTTTGCAAGTCGGGTACGCAATCTTCCGCCACTGCTCCGGAATTTGGAACAGCGCCAACTCGTTCCCGGTCTGCTCCAGCTCGCTCGTCATGACTTGGTAACCGAGCAGCGCCTTTTGCAGTTGCTGCAGGCTGGTCCGAATCTCCAGGAAAAGCTTGTTGGCCCTCGTCGCCTCCTGGTACAAGCAGGTCAACAGCGAGGAGATCGCCTTGGACTCGCTGACCGGGTGAGTTGCGTAGTCGCGAAAAGGCGACTGGTGTGCTGCGCTCGGACTTGATGCAGGACTGTCGTTTATTTTCCCTCCAGTTTTAGCTTGCTTAAAATTCGGTGTGGCTGCGCTGTTGCCGTTGTGCAGCTTTTTGTCAACTACATTTTGGAGCTGATGCTTTGCATTTTGAAGATTCACACTATCCTTTGCCTTACTCGCAGTTCCGGTAAGAAGCAGAAGCTCCTGACTTTTTTGATCCTGCCCTGTTCCACTATCACCCCCTCCAGGAGCCGCTGCGGCTGCCATAATCTGACTCCGGCGTCTGGCGGAAAGCGGCGACGTCGGCGCGGTCAGGGACGGACTTCCCTTCAAACCAGTGTTCAGTCCGGCGCTACCGCGGCGGGGGCTGTTTTTGTTCCCGGGACTCGATGTGTCCTTCTCGTTTCTACTTGTGCTGCCGTCGTCAGTTCCAGTAATCCTGTTCCGTACGTTGTTGTTTTTCTCCAGCAGCGCTAGCACGCAGTTCGTGTCCAACAGCGGCACGTTGGCCAGTTTGTTCTCCAGCAAATGCTCCACGATCCGCAAAACCGGGTTTGCCGCGGGCGCGCCGTCCTTTCGCGATGTGTCGGAGGTGGAAGGCCCAGGCCCACTGCTGGACTTATTTTGCTCCACATCGTTCTTGCCCTGAACTTCTAGTGCGCTGGTAGTCCCTCCCGTAGTCGCATCAGTAGAACTACCACTCGATGTTGCCACGGTGCTAGTTGTACCTCCACCCACACCTTCACTTTGCATTTTCAGAATTGTTTCCAGCAGTAGATCAGACTCGCGCTGCTGGTACGTGATGACCGCATTCGGGTGCAGTCCAAACATGTCCGGCGTGTCTACGTCCGGAATCTGGGCCTCGATGAAATCCAGGAACTGGGAGACACTGTACAGGTGCTGTTGATGTTGACTTGCGGTCTTTTCTGCAGTTTCTTTTGCAGCTTTACTCCCCGAGAGAAGTGCGCCTGCTTTCGAAGCATTTCTCTCATGCTCACTTGCGGCTGAGTTTGTCGCACCAACCCCTTGTGGCGGCGGCAGCTTGAAAAGTCCGCAGTACTTGTAGTTTGCCTTCAGCAAGCTGGGAGTCAAATATACCTCCAGAATCGCTTTCAGGAGCCGCAAGTCGAATTCGTCCGTGACCCGCCCACCGTAGTTAATTTCACCGATCACAAACTGCAACGTGTCCCACGAAATCAGGTTGGACAAGGCGTTCTTTGCGTTCATCGTAGTGTTCATCACAGATGACGCACTACCAGAAGACGCCCCAGTTGATGTTGATGAGGCTTTAATATTATTCCCACCTCCCATGTTGATCGCAACATCCGCACACGATAGTAGTTCGTTTTTCACATTGGCCAGTGCGATTTCCAGATCGCTTTCGTTCCAGTCGTACTTCACGTTCCATCCGAGGGGCCCGAACTTCCTCCGCTCCTGAATCAGGACGTGAAAAAACCGCATGCCCAGCTGCAGCTTCTGCCACAACCGGGTGTGTTTCTTCTTCTGGTCGAGCAGCTGGGCCGCGTAGGGACTAGTGGTCGACGTTGCACCATCTACTTCGAGATTTTGTTGCTTCTGCGCGAACAGGTGCATCTCGGAATTGAGGTCTTTGAACAGCTGCATGTCCAGCTCATCGGACATGGATTTCACCGACCGCTGCAGATTCGCTTTCACGCCCTTCGGCGCCTCGGTAGTGAGTTTGACCGCATTTTGAAGGAGGCTGACGGGGAAGTAGTCGCACGGCATCGAGGTAAGAAAAAGGCGGAAGTTCGGATCTGTTTATGTTTTGACTGATGCGACGCAAGAAATTAAGTACTGAAATAAACGCTTGCTTTTCATCGCGCATGCTCGAACTGGTGCATCTGCTTCAATCCTGCTATCCGTGGGGCCGACAACATCCCCGATGAGATGTGCTAAACAACAAAAAAAAGCGTTGAAAATATCTACCAGTATTCTCCCCGCCGTCTGCCTGGATGACATCCACAAGCTTTTCCAAACTTGGCATCCAGCTTTTGCACAGGTGGCAGTTTTGCAGCAGTATCCACTTCCCCTCCCTCCGTCCCTGCTCGATCATCCTGTGGGCCCGCGGCCCCTGTCCCTGCCCGAGGGAAATAACTTCCAACTTCACTTTGTGTGGCTGCAGTTGTGCTGCATTTGCAGTTGCGCTTGAAGTTGGTTTACTCGTCGTGGTCGTCGTGTGTGGCGGTGTTGTTGTCGCTGCGGCACTAAGCATCGCTGCATACTTGTGCAGCATAGCACTCGGATCCGCCGCGTTCGAGGAAAGCACAAAAATGACCGGAGTCGTGCTGGTCGAACCGCTACCAGTCTGCTTCTTACCACCGCTAGAGAGTGGTGGTTGCACTGAAGATGCAAAAGCTGCACGACCAGCACAACTTCCTGCAGCTTTGTTTTCACCAAACAGCACCTTTTCGAAGTCCACCTGGTAGTTGAGAAAGTCCTCGCCGATCACGTGCTTCACATACTCCGTACACCCGAAAATCACCATGTCGGGACACAACACTTTCAGCAGCAGCAGCTTCAAGAAGTAGTGCATCTCAAGTTTTTCCTCCAGATCGTCTGGAAGTGCCACCGCCTGTGGCGTGTCCGATTCGGCCCAGTTGGTCCACGCGTCTGGGTTTTGTCGAAGGGAAGTTAGCAGCTCACTGGAGGCCAGGGTCTGCTGCGACGATAAATGCGTTCGGACGATGTTTTGCAGCGCCGCCCACTGTTTGTCTGTGTAGGCATCGGGCTTCGCGTTGGCGCCAGCCTGTTTGATATTGGTGTTGATAATGTTCCGTGCGGTCTGCTGTTCCGCTGAAGCTACTTGAGGCTTCCCAACATGTAGTTCGGGATCCTTTGCCTCCTGCTGTGTCGTGGAAGTTGATACGCCCACCGCAGAGCTGTTTTCCTCTGTGGACGGCCCTGAGCCTCCTCCTCCTGCGCCAGGAGCTGCCGCAGCCCCACCGACAAATAGATTCCACATTTTGTCCGGCAGATTTCCACCCTCCCGACGATGTATCGACACCGCGAGGCAAAAGCTGAAGGTCGTCTTGTGCCGTTCGAAAAGGCCTTGTGCAACGTTGGTAAAAATCGTCGTCGACGTTTTCGCAATCAACTTCGCGAGCCGCTTCGAACTCCGGCTCTTATTTGAAGAAGAAGAGCTAGCAGCTGCAGCGGCCGCACTCGCAGCAAGCTGTTGGTTCTGCAGCGATTGTCGCCGCTGCACGATGCTCTGCCTCCCATGGTAGGGGGTTGCTGGTGAAGCAGGCTGGCTAGATTTAGTTTCACTATTTTCTTCCGCGAGGCTCGTGATCGACTCGGTGAATAACTGCTGGAAGTAGGCTAATGAAAACTGGTACATGGCGTCGATTTTGGCCAAATCGGCGATGACAAAATACAACAAACTCCCCCGGATCGCGAGCGGCTTGTAGAACGACATCTCCTTGTCGATCGTCTTGTTCGTCTTTTCGCTTTCCGCCACCCGGACTTCGATCTCCGACGAGGTCTGCTTTGACTGCTGCAGTGCGGTAATCAGCTCCACGTCGTCCAGAATGTTGGCGACAGAACTGGAATTATCGTCGGCAGCTTTGGAGTTACCGCCTGTTCGACTTCCGGCTGGATCGTCAAACTCGTCCTCGTCGTCTTCTTCGGCACCAAACATCGACTCCATGTTCCTCCCACTACCGCTTCCAGATGACGTCAAAAACAGCAACACTTTCTCCTCCAGATTTTCCAGCGCCTGCTTGTCCTCCTGGAGGGAAACGTTCAAGTTCAGCTTTTTCAGCATCAAATCTGACGATTCGCACTCCACGACCAGATTCAACAGCTGCTCTTCCAGCCCTTCCGGCGTGATGGAGAAGTTCACCAAAAGCAGTTTCATCGCCACCTCCGGGTGGTAGTGCGGATTGGGTAATTTCGTAGTGAAATAGATCGCGAACCGCTCGAAATCGTAGTCGATCTCCTGGTCGCCAAGACGGATCTTGATTTGGTCGAAGGCCGAAGCCGGGGTTGAGGTGAATTTATTTCCCGTTGTCCCTGCAGTCGGACTTGTTGCGCTGGTTCGATAATAGGCTTTGGACAAAATTGGCTCCAGCACTGGGTCCAGTTGTTCAAAAACGTCCTCGACCAGCAGCTCGTAACCATTTTTCACGCAATTTTCCAAAAGCACAAGCAACTTCGGATGACTCGCCTTGATCACCTTAAACTCGGACTGCATCTTCGCGCTGGCTGCGTTTCCAGCGGCAGTATTTGTTGTTGTTTTCCGGCTCTTCGTGCTCGTGGCTGCTGTTCTGCCCGTGCTACTACCTGTGGTTCCCTGTTGGCCTTGCTTTGTCTTCCGAGTCTTCTCTTTGTCTGCGGCATTAAAAGTTGTCCCAGCTCCACCCCCTGAGGACTTTGACGAGGACGAAGCGAACCTTGCTTTCATCCACTTGTTTGCCTGGAACTGCGGGTCGATCATCAGTGGCCATTTCCGCTTGCCCTGCTCCGTCACGAGTATTCCGTTGCAGATCGAGACGCTGTCCGCTGGCAGTTGGCAATTCTGCCAGTGCCGAAGAATTTTCGCGTCGCCGAGAATTTCTTCTAATGCGAAGTTGAACAAAGGAGAATTCAACAATTTTTCTCCCTCGCTAGTATTATTCTCATGCTCTTTAGTTCCAAAGGTATCCCTATCCACCAACACAAACTGCACCCATTTCTGGACCAGCTCCTCGCGGAAGGATTTCGTGAACGGGCCGTAGTAGCTCAAACAGGAGGAAGACAGAAACACGTTCGTTTCCAAGTACTTTTCCTCCACGTCCACAATCTTTTGCAGTGACTCGCGCCACCGTTTATCTTCCGACATGAGCGACTTCGTGAGAATGTCCGCTCGTTCTAACCGTTTCTCCGTCAACAACGACTCGTTGATCAACTTCTCCTTTTCCCTTTCCATCTTGCTCAACTTCTCCTGCAGGGCGTTGACCTCGTCCAGCACCTGCTTCAATTTGCCCTGCTTGTCCTGCAGGATGCTGTTCGCATTCTCCAGTTCGACGTTCATAATTTTCACCTTTTCCTTTTTCGGCTCGACCTCCTTCGCAACCACGGAATAGGTGTGGATCGCGTGCGTCCAGAGACACAACGATTTGCACGCCTTCGACTGGTTTCCCACCACATCGGGCTGGTATTCCGGTTTTTTCACGTACTGCTCGAGCTTCTTCAAGACGTTCGGCTGAATGTTATCCTTGTCGAAGTGCTTCAGCTGCTGGATGAAAGCGTTGTTGTCCGCGAGAAGCGTTTTCCGTGCGTGGTCCCAGTCGGTTTTCTCGTTCAACAACGTAGAGACCACCTCCATCGTCAGGAGGACCAGAGAAGGGGGTTTGACAAAGGACCGGATTTCCGTGATGTCCTTCTTGTCCAGCGCGTCAAGGGCTTTGATCGCGTTATTCAGAGCCGGAAGAGCGGTGTTCAGATCCTGCTCCGCCTCCTTCTGCAACGCCGCGACTTTAGATTGTTGCTCCTCGACGATTGTGGCGTCTTTCGAAACTTTTTCCTGGATTTTGTCCGCGTTCTGCTTCTCTTTCGAGACAAACGGAATCAGCTGCTCCGTTTCTTCGATCTTTTTCTTGATTCCCGGCCGGATTTTCTCGTCCAACTGCTGCTGCAGGTTGATCACAAGCTTGTTCGCTTCCTTGATTTTTTCCACCCCGAGCGTGAGTCGCTGTGAGGACTTCTGCAGCTTTTTCGTCTTTTTCGCCAGCAGGTCTTTGAAAGTCTGCAACAGATCCAGGAAGCTGCTTGGCGTGATGTACACATGTCGCTGCTGCTGCTGCAAAAACGTCACTGCCGTCCTCTCGACGGCCTTGTGGACAAAAACGCAGGCGTCGCAGAATTTATGCGCTTTGATATTCTCGGACCTTGATGTTTTCGTCTGTTTGTGCGGCGAGCTAGTACTGGCGCCAGGAGAGCGAGCGTTCTGCTGCTGAATATTGGTCGTGGTGGGCAAGTTGACTGCTGCACTGCTGGTGTGCAGCGACGGCAGGTTCGCCGCACAGTACTGCTCCGCCACCAGAAACAGAGCCTCCTCGGGCCAAGGGAAAAACCAGTCTACCGTCGTGCAGTTGATCAAACTCGGAAACAGCCGAATTCGGGTCCGCAGCTTTTCCCCGACCGGGCTCATCGCAAGGACGATGTGGAGGTTTGCTTGGACTTTCTGCTTGAAAAAGTCCCAGACGTCTTCCTTCGAAACCACAGGTAGGGGCGAAGCCGCTGCTGAGCCGTTGCCACCATAACCGGCGCTCGTCGAATCCTGTTGAGCGGAAGTGGCGGCCCGGTCGTTGGTCGTAGCGCTGTGTACAACTTGCACGATCGGCTTCAGTGTTTGCGTGATCTCCTCGAGTTGGTCTGTTTGGTACAGATTCGGCACTTCGCCGGAGTTCAGCAGTGAATTAACGTCTTCGAGAAACGACTCAGACAGGATCTGGCTGTCCGTCAGCAAGAAGCAAGTCTTTGTGCCGAGAAACTGAAAATTATCGGCTTGGTTCGCTGATTTCGACGTGCCAGCATCTGAACCAACAGCGGAGGTCGAATTCCCTGCTTGCTTGTTTCCACCCTGCTGGGAGATGGAATTCGGCTGCTTCGTCTTGCTGGATCCGGAAGCTGCAGTGGCTGCTCCTGCTGAACCCTTACCACCTGCAGTTGCTCCTGCGGCTATACCAGCACCAACGTCGCCGTGCAGCACGGCGTTCACGCCACTGACCATCCGCAGTAACTCCTGCTCTGCCTCGCGGAACTGCACCAAACCGAAGTTCTTCGTCATTTCCAACTCAAACTTGACCATCGGATTTACCGGCAACTGTTCGTAAAAGAAGCAACAGAGCTTCGTCAACGAGCTTCGGCCACTGCCGCCGACGCCGACGAGAAGCAAAGAGCCGCGCGGCTGGGAAAGAACCCGGGAAATGCGGACGATGTGCGAAATGGCGTCGCCGAAAAACACCAATTGCATCGGCGTGTTGCTTATCAAATGTAAAAGTGTCTGGGTCTGGAAGAATGCAACTTGTCATGCTAAATCTGAATCAGGCAAAAAACTATGTTGCATGATTGCCAAAAGTTGTGCATTTTTGACCTAATCGGGAGGCAGTTTCTCATGCAGGATAGGCATTGGAAAGGTTTCGCAGAATCTGTCATGCTATGTCCTACATACCAGACCTCATGGGTTATGGAAAACGTGCATGACAAATCTGGCAATCTTCCAGACCCAGACATTTTTGCAATCCATATTGCTGTCGTTGTACTCGTAGTTGTACTGCTGGAGCAGGTGTTTCAACTTGCTCAGGTCCTTGATCTCCTCGTAGTTCCCAAATCCTGCGGGGTTAGTGGCGCTCGTCCCACCGCCCGCTCTACTTCGGGAGGACGGCGAAGCCGCGGACTGCGACAACGATGCAAAGTTGCCCCAGTACACCGGGAAGGCCACCGGCAAGGAGGAAGCGCTGTTTCCATCGTCCAAGCCTGTGCCTGGAGAAGCTGAGCGTCCATAATCCGTGGACGATTTTGTTGAACCCATCGTCTTTGTTTTTCCGTCCATCGAATCCAGAAAAACCTCCACATTCCAGGCCTCCGCCCGGTATTTCTGCTTCATGATTTTCGACAGCTTGTGGAAGAACCACACTTGGTCCTGCTTTGAATTCAAACGGTCGTGGAACACGCGACACATCTCGTGAATCCACAGCCGATGGAAGGCTTCCTTGTTGGGGCAGTGTAGCGATTTCACGGAGAGAATTCCCTGGAACACCCGGGCCACGTCCCGGAGATTGAACAAGTAGTGCGGCTTCGAGGGGGTTGGAAGTAGTTTCGAGACGATGTCCGTGTAGAGCTCAATCGTCGAGGAAACGCAGACGTTGCCGATGATCTGGATTTCCTGCTTGAAAGTCTGCAAAAACTGTCCGAGAATCTGGCCGAAAATCTGCTGCATCTGCGTCGCCGAAGTCTGTGGCATGACGAGCAGGTTCGAATGCCGCATGAACCTCGGGGAGAGGACTCTTCGGCCGCCGCCGGGAAGGCCGGCGGAGTAGACGAACGTGCAGTTCTGGACGTTCTTCCAGAAGAGCTTCTCCCGGTCGTAAAAGCCGTGGAAATCCTGGAGGAAGCGGAGCAGCTCGATCACCGGCTGCGCTCCGTACTGCTCCGGCGTCGGCATGTTCACGTCGTCGATCAAAATGATAGCTTTGGGCTTCAACTGGAATTGCTTCGTCGTCGGAGAAGTGGATGCGGGAGAACCCCCGACGTGCACCGCCACATTCATCCCTTTTTTGACGTTCCCGAAGGGGCCGAGAACATTTTTCCGCTTCTTTTCCAATTTCGTTTCGAGGCACAGCTGCGTCTTGCTCGCGGTCGTCTGCGCGCTGAAGATCAGCTGCGCGAGCGGCTGGAGCAGCGAGCTCGCCGACGCAGGAGTGGCGCCACCGTCGGGACTGCCGCTGTTCTTCTCCTTCAGGCTGCGCATGAGCTTGGTCAGCAAAAGACTTTTCCCCACGCCCGCTTCGCCCGCGAGAAAGGCAGACTTGTTCGCGGTAATCAAACGGTCGAGAAGGTAGGAGTAGCGGATCGAATCGACGGTCGGGACAAAAAGCTGGTGGAAGAAATCCGGCTGTCGCTGCTTCGGGAACTGCCACTCCGGGGCGAGAGACTCCCAAGGGATCAACTGGGGGGCGGTGGAAGCGCTAGCTCCGGCGGCCGAAGTAGAAGACGCCGCATTCGTAGAACTACCTCCCTGCGCCGTCGTGCTAGTTCCCGCAGTGGCAATCGCGGTGCTGCTGGCTTGCTGCGCGTGAAGATGTTGCCCACTTGCACTTCCGACCGTCTGCATGGCGATCGCCTGCAAATCAAACCAGCCACTGTCCAAAGTGGTGCACTGCCGGTTCACATACTTTTCCCCCATCTTCTGCGTCAAGTGCGCCAAGAAGGCACTGCGCGTCTTCGGCTCAGTCAGGACACACCCAATTGACCAGGTCAACGCGAACGCAAAGATCGGCTGCAGAAATTGCTCCAACTGCTTCTCTGAAAGCGTTTGGAGGAAGGAAAACACGTGAAACTGGTTTGAATCTTCGAGAAATAGCTGAGCGTCTTGATCACCGTGCTGTGTTCCACCTCTCCTGCTGCTCTCCTCGGTGTTCAGACTCGACGTCCCGCCCAGGTAGTTGCCCCCAACACTGGACTCCTTGCTCGCGGACCGCGCGGAGGCCTTGCTTCCCTGCCCGCGGCTTGCGTGCAAGCTCTGCTGCGTTACGCGGTCGGCTGCGTGATGAGACTTGCTGCCTCCTGTCATCATGGTCGTGCTGTTTCTGTGCCCGCCCCCGCTCGACGGAGACAAGGAGAAACTTGACGTCGAGAACCCGCCGCCACCCTCTGTCACGCAGCTCCGGGCGTTCTTGGTCGTGCAGCCGTACGCGGTTAGTGCATCAGGGTTATCCAGAATGGCGGAAAAGATGTTGCAAAGGGAAATCACCAGTTGCGTGTTTTCCGTCGGTACGGCTTCCACACTGCTGGTGGAAGAGAAAGAGCTCTGAGGGCCACTAGCGCCTCCAGATCCTGAAGATGCACCGCCACCGGATGCTGGGCCGCTCGCGCTTGTCGCTGGTCCTGAGCTAGAACTGCCTGATGCTGAGCCTCCGATGACCGCGCGCAAGACCTTCAAACTCTCGTCAACGTGCTGCTCGAAGAAGCGCCACAGTTTCTCTCGAAGGCTACTGGCACTGTTCGATTGTAGTTGACCTTGGTCCACACTTGTTGGACTCGCTCGCTCTACTTGCGAAAACACCTGCAGTCCCGCAATCCATCTTCTCACGTACGGTCGCCACCCCAGGTCGCCACCGCTTAGGTACACCATCCCAAGACGCGACACCGTTGCTGGACTGGCCTCCCGCAGAGTGTCGCACTCGAAGAGCAGGCGGATTCTCTCCGGCTTCAGCTTGATCCGTTCCCCAGAAGCCAGGCACAGCATCATGCTGTCGTCCAGCACCGTGTTCATGTTCTCGATCCAAAGGGCGTCTATCGGACCGTCGAAAACAATCCAGTGCTGCATGGCCGCGGATGCATTGTTCATCCCGTCAGCTTGCTGCTGATGCGCGGTGGCTGCGACCTCGTTACTTGTTCCCGCAGGAGCTTCTGTAGCACCATGCAGCGCGGCACCAACTTCTGCGGTCGTTGCAGCCGTGCTGCCTGGTGTCACACCAGCTCCACCAATCGTCGTCATTCGGATGAGGCTGCTCCCTAGCCCGTCCTGCCACTCCTGCGTGAGCTCGGAGAATTCGCCGTACAGCTCGCCCATGCTGATGCACTTTGGATTCAGAACATGCGTTTTAATCTCTTTCTGCACGTACTTCTGGACACTAGAAGTAAACATCCTCAGCCGCTGCTTAGAGCTAGATACACTGCCAGCTCGGAGGTTCCGCGCGAGACCGCGACTTCCCCGGCGTTGGTCAAAGGTGGAAATAATTGCGCCGCCGCCCTCTTTGCTCATGCTTCTCCTTCTGGTTTCTCCAGTCTTGCTGTTCCGCCTCTGATGACTTTCTGCCACCACCTCCTTCACAGCTCCGGAAAACAAACTGGCACGCCGGGTACGCGACTTGCTCGCGGTGCGCGCCGTGCCGCTATTTATGCTGACCGACGTGTCCTCTTCGTCGAAGTCCAGAAAGTCGGCATCGTCATCGACGAAGTCTTTGTGATGTGCCCCACTGCTTGTTCCCCCTTGATGAAACATGCTTTTCCGCTTGGAGCCGCCCCGGTTGCTGCCCATCATCCCCGCGCCGGCCCTTCCTGCGCTGCTTTTCCGTCCTTCTCCGTGGAAAGCATGTTGCTGCTCCACGAGAAACTGATCACGCAGCAACGTCAAACTTTTCGCCAAAGTCTCGTAGCACACGGTCTTGCCGCTCAGCGTCTGGCCGACAAGTGAAACACCGATCCGCAGCTGCAACGTCTCGAACAGTTGCACGATCTTCGAGATTTGCGCAGGGACGGGTGTGAGGCCAGGTGAAGATGAAAATAAGTTGTCGCCTGTGGTCGCATCGTGGTAGGAGCCCTTTATTGCTGTGTTTATTGTGGTTCCGCGCAACACTTCTTCGATTCCCGCTTTTAGGAGGTCGCTAGAACCTCCTTCCGCTAAAGAGCCACCATCTCCCTTTTGCGCGTTCGACGGAAACAGATCTTGCACGATGTCACTGAACAGCGGAACGTCATCCGCGACAAATTTTGGCACGTTCGCGTCCCGCATCGCAGCCAATAACAGCCGGTGCTCCAGCTCCTCCTCCGTTTCCTCGTGGTGCGGCGACTGCGAACGCATACTGGGTGCTGCAGCAGGTTGATGATAAACCCCTCTGTAGTTCGTCGTGCCTGGATCTGCTCTGTGCAAGGGATCAAGATTCTCGTCGTCCATACTCTCTCCCGCAAGAACCTCACTCATGTGTTTTTTTAGCAGGTTCCCTGCCATAAGCAACACCGACTTCACCGCCCGCATCCCGAAGTCGTAGTGGTCCTGCTGCGACAGCTGCTCGCTGCAGAGCTTGAACAGGTAGGTGAACTTTTTCGACAATTTCCGCGCCGTCGCAAATCCCTCCGCGAACAGCATCACCTCCGCGATCAAGGTGAAGTCGGGGACCATCATGCTTATCGGGCGAAAGAGAATTTTCAAGTTATCGGGGAGCTCCGTCCTCCCCGCGTACCCCGGGTTCATCGTGATGCAAACGAGGCACGTCGGCTTCAACTTCAGCAGCACGTTGCCCTCGAAGAAGAACTCAGACAAACATTGCAACAGCGCCTGCCGGATCGCGGTCAGCTGCTGCGCGATCACGGACAAGACTTCGATGGAAATGCGGTTAAACTCGTCCAAACACGTCCACGACCCGCAACTCACCACGCCCGAGTACAATTTTGCCATCATCTTGTAGTCGATCTGCTCGGAGCAGTTGAACACCACGCAGTGCCGGGCGAGCTGCTTCGCGAGGTCTTTGGTACTTTCCGTCTTCCCGGTCCCCGCCGGCCCGCTCGGGTTCGCGCCAAGTTTCAAGTGAAGGGCGCCGGTGATGGTGAGAAAGCAACGGTCGGTCAGGGGGGTGATCACCAACCGGGTCGTGTTCCCCGTGTACTCGTAGCCATACTTCACCACGGCGTCAACCTGTCTGACCAAAACTTCGTTCAGGTTCGGGTCCACGGAAGCAGAGCCGGTGCCCGCGCCGCCCGTTGGTTGGTGCTGCTTGCTGTTCAAGTTCGATTGTTCGCCAGCGCTGTTACTTGTCTCGACGAAGTTATCGTAGTAAAACCGCAGCTGCTGTTGCCACTTGAAAGATTTTGCACTGGTGATTTTTTCCTGAGCTAAATTCTCCGTGATGTCCCGGTAATGCACGTCCTGCGTAATCAGCGCGACGATGGAGAGTCTCTGGAGCCTCGTCAAATTTGGAAAAGTCTTCAGAAGATCGGTCAGCTCCTTCAGCTGCTGCATTTGGATCTGAAACCACTTGGACAGAAGCGTGATACTGATCGCGTTTTGCTGCTGCAGCTCCGAAGAAAGGGCAGCCTGCGCCGCTGTTCTCGGAGAAGCACTTGGGGAGTCGGACGTCTTGTTTGTGGATGTTGCACTTGCGGCGGACGAACTAGCGTTTGTTCTCGCAGTGTTGGAAAAACACTCTTCGGTAATTTTGCACCACAGAATCGCGTCAACTGTCATGACCACCTGCATGTGCTTTTCCAAAACGAAGCGCGCTCTGGTGTAGTAGCTCCGCTTTTTCGATTCGCGGATTTGCTCGGTGAGCAGCGCCAGTCTGCTGTGTTCGGCCCTCAAGCCGTGCTGATCCTCGATCATGGCATTATTCCCACGGCCGCTCTTCACAGCACTCCTTGAGGTCGACAGCAGCCGCTGCTTTCCCTCCAACTCCGACAGTATCGCGTCGGTCGTGGCGAGCTTGCTCCGCACCATGGCCGCGGTCGCTTGGTCCGAAGCAGGGCTATCACCATCGCCGGACACGCTCACGCCCCGCCCGCCGGTCGACCCTGCTTTCGACCCGTGTCGCTGCTTGCTGTGCGACCGCACGTCGTCCTGGTCGAAAAAGTTCTGCCAGGGCGCTGGGTTGTAAACCGAGTTACTAGCGGCAGTTGTTCCGGGGTGGCTGTAAAAAACACCGTTGCCGATGATATTCGCAAAGTAGTCCCGCAGTCCTCTCCTCACCAGGGTCCAAATAGACTTTGTCATGGTTTCCTCCACCTCGTTTAACCACCTTTCCACATTCCCGCTCCTCGCTTTCAACGTGCGGTAGAAGTAAACTTCTTCCTTCTCCTCCGACTCCATGCCCAGAATCTCCGCGCTGTTTCGGTCGACATTCGCAAATTTGAGCGTGTACAGGCCATCAAAGCACTTCCGTAAGTGCGGCCGCACCGCCTCAATCTTCCGGGCCTGCGCCAATATTTCCAGCAGCTCGTCGTTGGAGAGAAAGAAGAACCGGGGAAAGGAGAGTCTTTTCGACTGCAGGTAGTCTTCGAGGGATTTCTGGATCGTATCCAGCGTCGTATTCCACTTCCGGAAAAGCTCCAACCGGGCGGCGTTGCTGTGCTGCTGTTGGTGCTGGTGTTGTTGGCCTCCTCCAGTTGTAGTTGTTCCCATCTGTTCGGCAGACGGTGGCCCACCAACCGGTGCTGTAGGTCCGGTACCGGGAGACGAAGCTGCTGCTGGCGCAACACCTACAACACCAGCTCCGATACTATGTTCCTTCCCGCCGGGTCCACCAGCACCGCCTGCTCCTCCGTGCTGCAGCAGCTGCAAGCCGCAGGCGTGGTACGCGAGGTTGTTCCCCTCGGAGCACTCGCGCATGATCATCTTCCAGTGCGTGTCGATTTCCGCGAATTTCGCGTTCTCCGTCGGGAGCTGCTTCTTTATGTCCACCGCGTGGAAAATCGACTCCAGGTACATCCAATTCTTCTGCAGGAACTGCCACTCCTCCAGGCAGTCGAAGAGAATGTTCAGGTCGGTCTGCCACCGTTCCACCTCCTCCTTCAGCGTGGGGTACAGGTACCGCGAGGAAAGAATGGTGCTGATCTGCACCAAGCTGTCCTCTAAACTCGGGATCACGTCCTCCGCCAAGTCGTTCAGAATGTAGACTTCTTTGCTGTCCTTGTAGGGGAGAAACGGCAGCTCCTTCTGGTACAGCCACAGCTCCTTGATCTTCGCAAACAACTGCTCCAGTTCCGCCTCCTGCGTCGCACGGTTGCTGATCTCGGAGAGAGGCTCCAGCTGTTCATCCATCCTCTTGTCCAGTGCGTGCTGGAGGCTGAGGGAGGCCAAAAAAGAACTCGCGGAGTCGTGATAGCTGGAAGAGGCCGTCGTGTTGAAGGCGGCCGTGCTGGAACCGCCAGCCGCGGCTACAGCACTGTCGTGTTGTTGCAACTCCAGGGTTGAGGGGGCAGCAGCCGCTGCGGCTGCGGCGACAGCTGCTGCTGTGCCTGCGGTAGTTCCAGGAGGGCCGGATCCTTGCGGTGGTCCCGCGGTACTTGTTCCAACGTCCAATTTGTTTTGGACAAAAATCTGCTGGATTTGCTCCCAGTGGCGCTTTTTCAAATTTGGATTGCGCAGGGCGAGAACGACGGGGAGCAGGTTTTTCACCTTCTGCACTTCCTGTTTGAAAGCGACGACACAGGGGTTGCTGTCGACAGTCGTCGTCGTCGTCGTCGAAATTTCGGCGCCACCAGCTCCTTGCGTCGTGGACGAAGAAGTGCCACTTTTCTTGTGCACGAACACAAAGGGCCCGAGATTGCAGTAGTTCCGCATGCTCGCTACAGCGACCTGGAAAAACCCGCCCACCTGCTGCGTCATGCTCTCGATGTCGATTTTGTCAAAGAAAATCCCCTGCAGCGTCTCGCGCTTCCCGATGGTTTTTTTCCACTTCTCCACCGCGCGCCAAAAATTCGCCACTTCCAAAATACGCTGCTCCAGCTCGTCTACCTCTTCGAACGGGATTTATGAAATTGACAAATGCCTGGACTCTACAGCGTTCTTGGGAGGAAATGTTCGTGATGCAACGTCCCCCTCCTGGAGCAAAGCAAGCATTGCCAGTGTTTGTAGATCGGCATCATGTTTGCCTATCTTTCTAGATCTAGAATAGCGAAAGTTTATGCTGCACCACGAAAGTGCTGCGCTTCTGTATCGAGCGATGTCTACCTAGCGCCCTGTTGATGAAGCTGCTGCTGCAAATGCTGGCTTAGAATCCGCAGCCAGCTAAATGCATCCACTGGATTTTCGTCATCATCATCTCCTCATGAAATACAAAATCGTCGCACTGGAGCTGCGGTCGGGGCACTTTTCAACATGATACAGTTGTCTCCACATTCAGCGTCCTTTGGTACCGATTGTACTTCTCCGCATTTTCGATGTGCTGCCGACACCGCTGCTCGTACTGCTGCAACTTTGCGAGAATGTCGTCCAGCGATTTCGGATCGTGCAGCATGTCAGCGGTTTGTTCTGTTGTAACGGTGTAAAAGTCCGCAGTAGATTTGTCACCGGACGAGTTGGACACCACGTAGCGCACGTCCGAGAACTCGTTCTGCATGTCCTTGTCCAGTTTCTGAAACTCGTCCCGGCACTTGTACTGCAGTTGCGGAATGTCCCGGGCAAGTTCCGTGGTGAACCTGGTTACGTTCGCCTCCACGGTCTCAGTCGACTGGGTAATCTGCGACCGTAGAGAGTCGCCCACCATCTCCAGCTCCAAAAACAAAGAGCGCGCCCGCACGTCCATCGTAAGGGTGTGCTTTTTTGCGATCTCGAAGAGGTCCAGAATGTAGTTGATTTTCCGCTGCACCAAGTCGGAGTTAAGCGACTGCAAAAAGTTGACGAACAGGATGTACTCATCGACGTTCTGGGGAAGTTTTGCCAGGCGGGCGTGCGCGTGCTTGCACTCCGCGACCAACTCTGTCGCGAGTTGCACGGAATTCGTCGGGAGGAAGTCGGCCAGCAGGTCGTAGCACCGTTTCTGCATCGGTTGCAGCAGCTGTTTGAACTGCGCGGTGTGCAGTTGGAAAAAGTTCAAGTTCGAGGTCAGCGGCAGCTTCTTCCGGCAAGTCTCCTGCTGGTGCTCGTATTTCTGAAGCAGCCGGTTGTAGTCGGCGACGCGGTCCGCTTTCTGGCCGCGGTCGTTGATGGCAGCCGTGTTTGGACTCTTCTTCATCATCCGCGCAGCTCCCTGCTGGTTGTGATGCGCAGCGAGGACCTGCGGGAGCCGAACAGGAACATACTTCTTCGTCGCGGACAGGAGTTGCTCCGCAGCGGCGGTCGTGTTTGATGAACTTTTCGCGTTTATTGTTAAAAACTGCTTTTCACTTGCCCCTCCGAGCGCACCTAGCGCAGACCCCCTGCGCTGTTTGTTCTTGAGGCTTTGCAGCATCAGCATCTGGTCTTGGTCGTCCCGAATTTTTGCGGCCTCCGAATCTGGGTCGTAGCTTTCCTCCAAGTCCAGTTCGATGCGGACCTGCTCCATCGCGGCCGCGGACTCCAGAAGTGGCAAATCTAGCATCGCGTTCTCTTTGTACTCGATCACGTAGGGCGTCAACTCCACGTTCAAATACGCCTCCACCCCCAGATATGCATCGCAAAACTATCATAACATTGACATAGACATATTTGGCTTTGGCAATTGCATAATTGCTACAAGCTTCATCCCCGAGCAGCAGTATTGTGAAAAAGGTCGCAAAGAAAGCAACATGCCTGTCATGCATCATTGCAGCCAGTACGGGCACGACACTTTTGCACAGGATACGAGCTCGAACAACTCGGGCAGCTCCTCATCGAGCAGCTTGTCCAGCAATATTTGGAAGAACGACCCGGATTCCGCGTGCACGATTGTCTGGAAAAACTGGTTCGCTTCCGCCACCTCCTGTTTATTTTTCTGCTGGAGTTGTTGTGCGGAGATCTTCGCCAGCACAGTAGAAGCTGCAGGAGTGGCACCCGAAGCTGCAGATTGATGCTCGGTGGCGCCATTCAGGAGTTGTGGTTGTGCAGAAGTAGGAGCAGCCCCCGAGGCGTTCTTGTTGCCTGCAGATGATATTAAAGTGCCACTATCTAGTACTACGCCTGCTGTTCTGGAGGCTGCACTAGAAGTAGTTGCACCTTGCTCGATTCCGAACTTCTCCAGAAATGCTTCCAAGTACTGAAACCGCGGAAAGCTCGTGACGAAAGAGACCGCGTTGTAAATGCTCTGTTCGATCTGGTCCTGGAACTCGACGAGGCTGGGAGTAAGCTCCAGCTCCAAATCGTGTTGGTCGGCCGGTGTCGAAGAATTTGTATTTGACAGAAAAACGCAATCGATCTTAAACAGTGGGCGATTGTTCTTCGGCCCACCTCGCAGAAACAATTTTTCTGCACCAGAATTGTCAGCTCCAAACTTCCCGGCTCCAATACTCGTCGCTGGAGAGTGCAACAGCATCGGACCTCCAGCACCGCCCGCGACGCCAGCGCCCCCCAGCAAGTTCCCGAACCCACTTTTGTTTAACGCCGTGAAACCCTGTGCTGCGGTCTTCCGGGGGCTGTGCATCGGAGAACGAACCCCTCCTGCGGCGGTTTTGCGCTTGTTTTGCTGCTGATGCGAAGCAGCACTCGCCATCTGCTCCTCATGCAGCTGCTGCTGCTCCTCTGCCTGCCGCTTGATCTCCAGTTCGTACTGCTGCTGAATCTCCCGGTCCTTTCTTTCCAGCGATTCCAAGTCGTGGGGTAAGTCCGCGATGATCGCCTTAGGACACCAGTAGGCAAAAACGCCTCCGGGCGAACCTGGAGTCATCGGAATCCCAACCTGTAGATTCCTACCGTACTTGCGCAAAATGTTGAACAAGTGCTTCACCGTGTTTGTGCAGATGTTCAAAACCGTTCCGTCATACACGAGCTGGACCAACCGGATGAAGCGAAATATTCGCCGGCACTGCGTGCGGCGAGTCGCGCGCTCCGTGTACGACTGGTTCTGGCTCGCCTCCTCCCGCATTTGCTGCAAAGCCTGCGGCGAAAAATCCGGCTCGACCACAGCGAGCGAGGAGGAATTCATATTCTTGCCTTGTTGTTGATACTTGTTACCAATATTGTTGTTCGTGTTCCTCTGCGGATGAGCGACATCTTCCTCTTCTTGAAGATCCTCGTTGTTCTCTTTCACATTGTTCGACGTCCCCGCTGGTACTATCGAGCCACTCGCAAATCCGTTCTGCTCCAGAAAGCGCTGCAGGGAAAATTCACAACAGCCTTCCATCTCGTCCTTTAAGAACACCCAGAGCTGCTCGAGCTCCTCCCGCACCGTGGTTCGGAGAAACTCCTCTTGCTTCCGCTTCCACTCCTCCAAACTCCAAATGCCCGCCTTCTCGTCATCCGCCGAAAGGTACGCGCTCTGTTTGTAATTACTCCGCTATCGGGTGGAAAAACGTACGCAAGTACTTACCCATATACCATCATGAGCGTATCAGCATCTTGCGGATTTGCATTTATTGCATATGACATTATCTTAGAGCGCCCTCATACGCTTTCGCAAGAGAAGTCAAAATGGCTTTGTGATTGTGATACAGCTGCGCTCCTTGACGTGGTCACGTGTGACTCTCAAATAAATATCTAGGATTTTAGGGTGTAAGTAGTTACAGCGTTTGCCTCACAATATCCGTTGCGACTTTGTCTTGGTCGCGAAACTGGCCGGGAAAAACGCAGCCGCCTGCGTCGCTCGACCTGCAGCTCCTCCTGGAGAGGAAGGAACAAAACCTCCAGCTCCTCCGGTTCCCCCGAAGGCCACAGCGCTAGTATTGACAGCGCCGGCAGGAGCCGCAGTGGCCCGTCCAGCATTATTCAACATTCCGCCAAGAAACGATCCGGCGGCCGTGTTGGTCTTGAAAAGCGAGGAGGACATTGTGGTGCCACCAGCTCCGCTCCCACTTTGGTGTGTTGTGGTCAGCATCTGCGGATACAAGAAGTTCGGGTTCCCGGTCTCCGGAAACGCCAGCAGGCACAGACTTTCCTCCACCATGCTGCAGGCCGCTCGGATGCGCAGCAACGCCGGCTGGAAGCAGTCCGCGTCGAGAGAGAACAGAGCGCTTTTTACCCGCCGCTGGTTGCGCTCAAACTGCTCCCTTTTCGAGATCTTCTTCCACAACCGGAACTGGCGCCACTTCTTGAATTTCTGCACGAACGGGATCTTCTGCAGCTGCGCGTACTGAAACTGCTCCCGTTTCCACTCCTCGATGGTCAGAAACTCCTTCTCTGTCGTCATCACGTTCGACGTGGCTGAAGAGGACGACGCGGCGGATGATGAAATTGCTGGTCCGCCGCGGCCGGCGCTTCTCGGCGTGCGAGACGTGGCCGACGCGCTCGCCGCGGCACGACCAGTTCCAGAGGAGGTCGTGCCCCGGTCCATGTCCCCGAGGTTGTTTTCTTCACCAACATCCCCCAGCACGTGATCCGCTTCCACCATCTCCACCTTCCGCGTGTGCACGACCCCGCGCAGGCTCAACGTGAGGAAATCACAGGGGTTGATCTCGGAGTAGGGCACAACCTCGTACCGGTACGGCTCGTCCGGGAGCCGGTTCAAGTAACAGAACTCGTCCTTCAGGTCCTCGTGGCGCTCTAGAAAGGCCACGAAGTGCAGCGGGTCCACGTCGAATACTCGTTTTGGAGGGGCGGAGGGGGCTGCAGAGGAAGCTCCGGAAGCTTGGCCTTCAGTTCCTCCACGGCCGGATCTAGTGTTGTGCCTACCACTACGCGCTCGTCGCGGGGATCCATTTGCATGATCTGCACTCGTGGAGGCCACGTGCTCCTGCAGCGGACTAGATGCTGCATAGCTTTTCGCTTTCGTTTTATTTCCCCCCACAGGACTCCTCGCATCTTCCTCTTCGCGTGCCAACGATGAAAGCAGCGTTGGGTTATTTTTCATCTTCCTTCTCGCGAAGGCAGTGCTGTCGCCAGGTCTAGTACTCGGCGACAGAGGAGACGACGGCTCCTGGAACTGCAGCCCACGCGGCCCCTTGTCCACCGAAGGGCTCGTCGCGTCATGACGGTGCTGGTGGCTCCTACTCTCCCCACCTCCACCTGCAGATGGTCCTGCCACTGGAGGCGGATGGTAATTGTCCCCGGCGAAGTGCAAATAATGCGCATTCTTGACGCTCGCCGCACTCACGGGTCGTTTTTGCGGCGAAATAATCCGCCTCGTCGCCAAGGAGGCCGTGCCCGGTCGCGAAATATACCCCGAGGTAGACGGTCGGGAATTGCTGCCGCCTGCTGCAGCAGGCTGGTGCGCGCCAAGACCTCCAGGTATGAAAGTAGTGCTGCCAATGCCTTGTTCTTGAGGCTGATCATTTGTAACATCGGTCCTTGCATAATTCGCTTGATTGGTTGTCGTGTTCCCTCCGGTGTTCCTTTCCTGCGCGCTTGGTGGAGATGCAGCACCAGCGACAGAAGAGACAAACGGCGCTACGTTCGTGTGAGGGCGCAAAAAGGCTGTCCCGTTCGCAGCCCGTGTTCCCGGAGGCGGTCTTGGTGTGCGGCGGGGTGTAAGCTTCGCACCGGCGTCTTCGCCTCGACCAGTTCTCGGCGTTGCAACCAAGGGTGGCTGGTCACCTTGCCGGTACAAGCGGCTTTGCAACCCCTTAGCCTCAATATCCTCAAACGAGAGCGCGGGAAGCTGAAATTTTGTTTTATCTCCAGGGGTCGCCATTTTGATTTTTTCGATGGCATTTCTATAGAAAGGGCAAAGATCCACACAGCAGCAGCATATCGACCTGCTTCTGTCTGTGGTCTTCTCCGGCAGAAGCTTACAACTTCATCGCCAACCGCAAAGCAATACGAGACTCTTCGGTTTCTTTCGCTGCACTCTCTTGCGCGTGAAGGTGAACGCGAGCCAGGCTGCTCTGCAAAGCAATTATATCTCTCGAGGGCAGGAGAAGGCACGACTTAGACTTACAACAGGCTGCAAGCGCAAACACCCTTCCCGCCAACGAAGCAAGGCCGCGGCTTCCACGGCCATCGGCAACTCCAGTCCCTTCGCTGCTGGCTTTTCCGCCGGACGAACAAAACCCAAAGTCGGTGACCAGAATTTCGTTTGCTCCCTGCCGTATCTTTGATCGAAAGCTTGGGTTGGCGGAGACGGCTGCCGCGTATGGCTCTTTTCGTTTCTACATGCCAAAACAGCTGCGGTAGCTGGTGACACTTCACAAATTAATTGAGATTCATTCTGTCACCGCACAGAACGGTCACATGCCACGGTAATGCCGTTCTGAAAAAAGCGTGTAGACCACATCATACAGAAATGAAACCTTATCTTTGGGAACGACTCCTGTGTCTTCCTGTGAAACTCCGGCTCCGCATTTTTTTGTTGCCGCGCATCATTTTATCAACAAGTTTCGCTTCGCGGTAGGGAGAAGCACTTTTGAATTTAGGGATAGATGATTCAACACGTGACTGGTTTTCACAACCGTCTTCTATCGATAAACCACTGTAACTGGATGTAAAATTGAAATCATGTAGCTTGCGTCTAATCGTCGTTCTTGGCTTGCTCGACATACGATACTTCCAGTTGCGATAAAAAAATCATAAAACTGATCCACTTCGCCTAATTCCCCGGCGCCCCTGTCGTCCCGGCAGCAGTAAATGCGAAGCGAAACTGTGGCCGTGCGGGCGCAGCGGAGAATGCCATGGGAGATTGACGTCCGATCGTGGGAGAAAGTGCACCGGGCCGGGCAAAATTCCCGATGCCAAATTTCACTGGGGAGGCGAAACCAATCTGTGTTGTATGATAGAGGTTGGGTTTGAGATTACATTTACAACGAATGGCTGGACAGCTTTATGTATCTGTATGCTCGCCTTGTTATGCACTCACACTCACACTCACGCAGCAAGCAGAAATAGGAAGAGCAGGTCGGAGATCCTACCCTCATCTATTTTTCCAACCCGTTAGATTTATTCCCACACTATGTATACATTTACCATACTTCATGCAACAGAACCAGCAGCGTTCCTTTCTGTACCGAGGGCTGAAACTGCGTCCCGACCCGTATCGAGGGCTGCGTGTAGGTTGCATTCCCCTGCTGCTGCTGCGTAGGATTCGCCGCGGACCCACCCGGGCCGTAATTTGGATTTCGCCCTTGCGTGGAAATTCCTGGAAAATAGAACCCCACAGAGGACTGCTGCTGTTGCTGCGGCGGGTTCCCTGCAGTCATCCCCGAAACGCGCGGTGGCTGCTGGGCCGGTGGTCCTCGTGACCCCTGTTGCGAAGAGGATGACTCTGCTCGCTTCACTTCAAACGTGATAGTATTGGTTCCCGGTGTAGTATCCGGTTGTTGCACTGCTTTCTTGCTCCCGTCCAAACCCGCAGTACTGTCTTCAATGACTGCACCTGCGGGGTGGAACCGTGGAAATAAAAGGTGAGCAGATCGATATTTTCTTTTTCACCGACTGCAGAAATGACATTGGATGCGAAAACCAACGCACAGCTAAAGCTGTGGCAGCAGCAAAAGCATTGCCACTAAACTACTACAAACAATACGACACGATCACGTCCTGCTCGTACCTGGCACATCACTGTCACTACTGCATCTGCAAAATAATCATCTTCATCGAGAGAGTCAGTTATTTTCCAATCCTTCTGCTTCTAAAGAGAGCGTAAAACTTGCACCCTCTCGTCAAGAAATAGCAGTAGCTTTAACTTCATACTGGAAAGCATCGCGCCACTGGTCCGCGGTTTCGTCGCGCCGTAGCCCGGAATAGTTCTGTCTAGCCCCGGACTCCGCATCCGTGGGTTACTGTCGCTCAGCATTGTTCGCTCCATGTTGTTATCCCGCACCGCTGGTGGAGGCACCGCAGGTCGGGAGGGCTTGCTGTGATATTCACAGAACAGGTAAACATACACTTTCCGGATCCCTCCTACGTACGCATCTCCATCGCGGAAACCGATTTACAATATCGAAAGACCACAGTTGTGCCTTTCCACCCCTTCTGTACTGTCATACATGAACGTGAAGGACAAATTCAAAGATGAAATTCTACCTGGTATAACATCACATATCAAGAAGTCTCTGTCGGTTGTTGTACCTGGCAAAATTTCCGGGAGACTGTGGCAAGTAGGACGCCTCGAATGCGTTCGGATTCAAAGTCATGCCCTTCGCTTTGCTGCTGGCACGTGATCCCCCCGTCGAATCCTCCATGCTGGCCCTGACAAAATTCATGTTTCGAAAACATCACTCGAAGCGCTCTTCTGTCGTCGTGCAAGAAACTGCTCGGCTTGGTATCTATATGCTCGAGTGGTACCCTCGCTGTTGCAGCTCAACCTACTGCTTGCGCTGCTGCTGCTGAATAGTACTACTACTATACATACTCGGGTGGCTCGCAAACATGCAGCACCTTCACTGAGCATCGCTGTGCTCCTGTTGCGTCAGGACAACATTGACTTATGGATGAAAACAAAACGAGGAACAAGCCCTTCTTCGAAGTATCATACTTCTTCGACTGCAAGCCGCTTGCCGTTCCTGTAGACGGCGGCACTGTAGTACCCGTGATCAAGTCAACAGGAGCTCCTGCTCCAGGTGCAGCTGCTCCCGAGGTGGTGCTGTACGCCCCACCGTAGCCAACCGCGCTGCTCCCCGCGGTGGACATTGCTGCACCGTAGCCGTACCCACTCGTTGAAGCACTTCCGATGCTAGCATGATACCCCGTCGGCACGTTCTTCAAAAAGTCGACCTTGCCCGATCGGAAACGGAGGTTCTGGTGCGAGTTCAGGATGCCGAACGCTTTCCAACTTGCGTTATACAGTCCGTGCTTGTCCCGCACGTTCTTCCAGGTGTAGATCGCGGTCGCGACCACCGAAATCAGAGCGTATGGGGCGGACAGAGAAAAGACACGCAGCGTGACAAGTGTGGTTCTACTGTAGTGATTGGTCGTGCTGCAGTCCAGCACCCCGCATCAACAACAAGACCTCAACCGGACCGCGGGAGGTTCTTGTCATCCTAGTAGTACCCACATGAGCGATTGAATTCATCTGCATGAAGATGGACATGCAGTAAAGTAGATTTATTGCCACAGCCAGGACGGTGTAGCATTTTTCCGCTGCTCCTCCTGCTTAGTCTTTAGAAAAAGGAATAGTCAAACGAAGAAGCACGTAATCAAAAAGCGCCAGGTGTTGCCGTTCTGCGCAGTATTTCTCTCTTCGTACGTCCTCCAATTTTTCCAGCTTGTCAGTCATCACGTTCACGTCGCTGCACCTGCAATGATTGTGTTTCGTGAATAAATATGCATCGCAAAGAACATGTCTGGGTCTGGATGACTGCAGGACCTGTACATGCTAGGCCGAGGTGGCTGTGGAGAGCGTAACGCATGTTGGGAAAGTAGAGCGTCGCTTCTTTCTAATGTGCAAATGCTAGTAATTTCTAACACAGAATTTACGTAACGCGCAGCTCCCCAGAAACTTCAACTTGTTATTCTCGGCTATCTGCTCCTGCAGGAAAATCTACCACAAGTAGATCGGGCCGTACTAATGTCAGCCCTGCCAGTATGCTAATGTGGTGAATGAGGTGTAGTGCGTATGTATCTTCTATACATGACTCCCATCGCTTCCGCGACCTGCATGATGATACTGGACGGTAGCTTTGCAGCAAGCTTCCCGGACTGTGTGTTTACTACCAGCAACTGCGGGATCCCTGCACAGCTCATGCCGAATTTCTGTGCGGCGAGTGTCTGGAAATCGTAGACCCGTTGAAAGTATGCATTGCAAAACCATCGCTCTCGGAGCACAAATTATGGCGGAACGACATGACAAGAAACCCCACTTCATTCACTTTCCATTCCTTCCATTCAGAAAAATTCGATTCTTCACTCATTCAACATGCTGAGAAAAATCGTTCGGCGCTTTGTACTTATGTGCAAGTGCGATACCTACTTTGGTTGCAATGCATAGAAAGCTGTCAACGGAGGACCCATCCGCTACGTACAGGATGGCGTCGCAGTTTTCCTGATTCAGGATTTTGTTTAACTGAACCTTGTCCGGCGCCAGTTGCGTTTCCTGTCCCGACCCCTCAAAAAACTCGAGATGGACCTGCTTGTCCTTGTGCTCCAGCACCAGATTCACAAAAGTCTTCGAATGTTTCACAACCTCGCGCGTCGCGGAATAGGAACTGGACCGGGACCCAGCTGAGGGGGGAGAAACATGGCATCAAGATGTGTCGTGCTGGGGCTACTCACTACTTTTGGTGCATCATTGAAGAATAAACTTGACCCGGTGCATCTGCAGCTACAAAATTCAAGTAATTTCCATCCTTAACCTCCTTAGTAATCTTCATCATAAACGAAAGTTGTACACACAGATACAACACAGCAAAGCGAAGAAGACGAAAGCATCGTGGGTACTTACCCGAGGAGCCGCACAGCTTCTGCAAGAAAGCACTTTTCCCCGCTTCTGCTGGCCCGAGCACTCCAATGCGGTACGTTGGCGGCCCTTGCTGTTTCGACGCCGGCGGAATGATCATGCTGCTCTGCGCTGGGCGCGCCGCCCCGTAAAACGACGAAGAGGTTGACGCCGAGAGATTTTGCGCGGTCAGGCCCGGCTGCTTCATACCCTGCCCCCCACCCGCCGTGCTGCTTGCCAGTTGCGATGCTGCGGCAGTCGCCGCTCCTACCGCCGCAGAACTTGATGTGACGCCGCCCGAGATAGTACCGCTGTTCTCAACATTTTGTCCTGCTACAGAAGATACAAGGCCGGCCGTCTGCTGCTGGTTGAGGCTGAGGGCCATGCGGGTGATTTTGTCCAGCAAGACGTCCACACCCGCGCCGGTCTTTGCGGACACGCGGAACTGCGGCACGTTGTGCTTTTTCGCGTACTGCTCCGCGATTTCCTCGGTGACCTCCTCGTGGTGCGTGACATCGGACCGCGTGCCCACGATCACGAACTGGCAGTTCGGACACTCCTCCGGCGTGCTCAGCATCTGCTGGTGCCAGTGTTTTACCCCTTCGAAGCTGTCCGCCAAAGTCATGTCGTACACCAAGAGCGCGATGTGCGCATTCTTGAAAAACCCCTTCAGTACCAGTGCGGCGTCCGGGCCGCCGAACCCACAGTCGTACAGACACAGCCGCACGCTCTGGTTCGTGGCGGGTAGCACCTGGTCCAACCAGATGAACTCCGAGGCCGGGGTTGCCTCGTATTTTACCGGGAACGGCCGCTTCGTCAGCGCGCACGACACCGCCGTTTTGCCGACCTGCGGGTCCCCGACCAGAATCACCTTGCGGGGCTGGTGCTGCTGCAGACCCGGCCCGGGCGCGAGCAACCGGTGGCCGGAAGACGAGGCCGCCTATCCGAGTGCGCAACGGGCTCCCCTCCACCTCATTTATTGTGCAAAGTACTTTCTGTAAGTAGTTACGAACCCAGTTGTTGCACTTGCCTTTTAGTACTGTTCGCATGACAAGCACAAGTTGCACAACTCCGAACGATGTTTTACGGTTCGTGTGCAGGTTTGTCATGCGGGTATTAAAGCTGCAATGTTGTCGCTGCTTCCGCTGCTGCTCATGCCCGTCTTTATCAAAGGGGCGGGAGAGAAAAATTTGTGCACTCTCATACCGCTGTGGTGGTTGAGATCACCGTGGGTGCGGCCGTCGGAGGCGGGTGGGTCTGGTGCTGTGGCACTGCATTGCTAGTGGACGTATACGGCGCCGACGAAGCTGCACCAGAGTGTTGGTAGCTCGCCACGATGGGTGCCTGTGCGCTGTAGTCCTGCTGCGCACTTGTCGTGGTTGCTGGCGCCACATTCGTCGTCTGCGTCGGGCTGCCGAACCACGCGGAAAACATGACGACGGAGATGAAAGATTTTCGATCAATACTTCAGGCCAGATTTTGACTGACGAAGGAGAAAACGAGGGGTAATGGCAGCTTCCGTAAGTGATTTTGTCGCCGCCCGATTCCGCTGGAAGGGCGGGGCTCACTCAGCATACCATATCGTCTGACTTCTGGTGCTTGTCACTTTTTAGACCCTTGTTGGGCTGCATTGTCACCAGGTGTTACAAGGCGCAAAAGCCCCTAAAAGAGGCAAAAGCAAATCAGAGTACTCCGACGCTGTGCACGAATCTAAGCATTCGTCGCGCATCACAGGTAGACAGCAAGGAGCCGGAGCAAGTGGTCGCGCCACCGCATTCACTCCTTCGTCACCAAACTTGAATGGCACCCAATCGCGCGGCCTTGATGTCGCTCCAGTCATACAAAATGGACTATTTGACCATACAAGATAAGAGGAGGGCAAAGTAAACCTGTCCTCCAGGAGAAAAGCACCGAAGCGGTTTACGGCTTCATCAACATTTCATCTATCTTGGCGTTGGCACCCGTTTTTGTATTTAGTGCTACGCATGATTTTTCTTCGTATCGTCTTCGTCCAAGTCACTTAAAAATAAAGAGTAAAAACTCGATTGCGGGAGTCGTGTCTTTTGTCTTAGCCTCGTTCTTGCGGCTATTTGCAGCCATTTGAGTATCGAGATCGACATCAACTTGTTGTACCATAATAAAAATAAACTAGTATGTAATGCTCACTAAAATAACGGAAAACACCCCGGCCAGAAACTTTGATGTCACTGTGAACTGTGTAACAGTATGCACATTTATAGAAAATCCTACAGCAACAACTTTTCGTGTATTTTGTACATTCGGGGCCTATTATGCAATCCTCTCTCTTTCAGGATCACGAAACGTTGATAAACGGAAACCAAACGAAAATGTATACATACTCACATCATCATTCCTAGATACAACACTCGCGAAACGAAAAACTGCTCGCGATAAACCTATTGATTTTCTGTTGAAGAATGTTGCTTGCTTTTCACGACTGTGACCCAAAAAACTATTTGATTTTTAACGCAGCTTTTTCTCGCTGTCATCTTCATACCAGCATCGGTTGATTTTGTGCTGCAGCATAGTACGTTTTTACTCCATCCTCCATCCTCGAGCTCAGCGTGGGCATAGAGAAGAAATCTCCGCCGTTCCAGCACCATCCTACCACCGTTCCCGGTCGGCGGCGATTTCCTGTAATGCGTTCACCAGCAACTGGTGCCCTTTGTCGCTCCAAACCGCGTCCATAACGTGCACAAACGTGGTCTTTCCGTCGGTCCTATCAAATGTAAAAGTGTCTGGGTCTGGAAGATTGCCAGGTTTGTCATGCACATTTTGCATGACTCCTGATGTCTGTGATGCATGCCCTAGCATCACAGATTTTGTGAGGGTTTCCTGATGCCTATACCGCATGACAAATGCTCTTTCCGTGTAGCAAAACTTGGACTCTCGTTGCTGCTCATGCAATACAAATTTTTTTAGAATCCAAAATCAGCATGACAAGGTGGATTCTTCCAGACCCAGACATTTTTACATTTGATAGGTCCCGTCCTGCTCCACCCACTTCGTCACGTCGTAGTTCTCCACCCACTTATTGATGTAGAACATCTCCTATCAACTGTAAAAATGTCTGGGTCTGGAAGAATGCCAGACTTGTCATGCTGGTTTTGCATGACCGATGCGGCCTGGCATGTAGGACATAGCATGACAGATTCTGTGAGAGTGCTATCATGCCTATCCTGCATGAGAAACCGCCTCTCGATTAGGTCAAAAGTGGACAGCTTTGGGCAATCATGCAACACAGATTTTTACATAATTCAGATTTAGCATGACAAGTTGCTTTCTTCCAGACCCAGACATTTTTACACTTGATATCTCCTGCCCGGTGTATCCTGTGTCAGCAAATAACCCAGATACAACCCATAGAAGTACGGCGACATAGTTGAGTTCCGACTGTGAAGTGTGAACGGGACTTCAACTTTTGCAACAAGAATGAAGCAACTTTAGAAGCTACGCATCTTCACTGGCGTGAGTGAGACCGCAGGACTATTACCTTTGAACCAAGCGACTTTGCTTGGCTCGCGCGACTACATTACATACCTATCAAACACGCACTGTAGAGTAGTCCCATTTTGTTGATTCCAACGGCACAAAATCAAACACCAATACGAAAATGCCTCTCAGTATGCAAGGTCGCATCAACAGATTCAGACGCATCGCGAAAATGCAAAATTTTTATGCCGAGTCTCGTCTGGGTTATGGGTGCGTTTTTTCCGCAAAATACGGTATCGTGTTTCTTCTTGATCCAGTAGTTGAACCAGCCGTGGAAGCCCTCCTTCTTATCCCGCTTGCGCACAACTGTGTCCCACCCTCTTTCTCATGCATATCTTCCCAGCGACGACAACCTTTGGCAAGGGTTCTTGCATCATCGGGATTTGATGTGCTGTAGTCGCCGATGCCGGAACAGTAGGTATGAAGGTCGCGCCCGGAGGGCGATATTGGTAACCAAATGCGTGCGCGAAATTCTAACCAGCGCGAAAGCCTAACCAGCCGCGCGGCGAAAGCGCGGCCCAGCGGGCCGCGCTTTGGCGCTATTTATTTTTGATTACAGCCCCACTCCTTCTTCTGCAAGCCCCCTGCATGAGAAACTGGCCCCCTGGCCAGGAAGGTATCTGGGTCATCGGGGGCTTCCGGATTCGCATTCAAAGCTTATGGGCCGCGGGGAAGTGGTGGAGCCCGCGGCGGCCCGCAGGCTCCTGCGATAAGCATTGAAGGCGAAATCCGGTCTGCTATTTCGCAGCGGGGCATCCTCTCTAGCCCCCTGCGTGACAAACTGGCCCCCTGGCCAGGAAGGTATGCGGAAAGCCGAAAACCCGCGAACCCTTCCGGGCAACCAAAATCG